AGTAATGACATAATATTATCCTCTGACGAGGATTTCTCCACAGACTTAGGGTTTTTGGAAGCCGACTTCCCTTTACCCTTCCTGCCATCACTCACGTGTTCAGGTCCATTTTTAGTAATGGTACTACATGTAGTTTCGTCCGCCATGACACCACGTGTCCAGAAGCAGACGACGAAACCTGACTGAAATTGCGCCAAATACCGTTGCAAACGGCAAGACCACTGTCTATAACGATATAGCATGCACCACGTGCACAATAAAAATCACCCAAAACCACGTTTCGGTGAAAAAGATCAGCGCCACTAGACAAATTCGCCCTTCAACCAAGGAGTATTGCACCAAGACTCCTTGCTTCAACTAGCGTGCAACCTAAAGTGCCCTGCGCGCGCAACCGGATCTCAGTTAAGACCAACGAAATTCTTCTTACGAAAAAGAATTAATGTGTTGTTCTCTTCATGCATTCAGCCAACAATACATTAATACTTATATAGCTGAAAACTTTGGCAAATATGCCAATGATGTCACAATTTTTGTGGGAGTTCTGCTTTATGGATGTGATATGTATACTGACTAACATATAACATAAATTGCAACCACCTACCTTTTCAAGCTTAGTAATAGCATTCATTAGTTGTTTCTTGTTCATGTCTTCATAATCAGCTGGAAACAAATACACAAATAATATAATATATCTTAATCTGTTTAAAGAACATTTAAGTTTTTTTTAGGTTTTTATACTTTTGTGCTTTTTAACGGGAAATAAACTTATCCATTATCATGGTTCCTTGTGTAGTTATATTTGATTTTACAATCACATACATAGTAGTTAAATATACAACTCGAGTTTTCAAATAAAGTTAACCAAGGAAAAGTTAAGTAAAGTTTTTAAATCTATTACTGGACTTTGAATTGAGTAATTGATGACAGTAGCTCTTCCTCTTGAAGACTTCTGCCGGACTAGTGAGAACACAAGTGAAATTATTTTTGGTATTCTTACGTAACTTATGTACCACATGCCTAAAAAGTATTCCAGATAATGTGGATAATAAATTTCATTCCAGTAAAACTTTTATATTACAAACCTTGTTTTTCTTTTAGCTGTGACTGCTCTTCCAACATTTTCTCCAGATCTTCTTTCAGGGTGCGGTTTTCTGTCTGCAGCTTGACATTTTTCTCATTCATTCTGAGGATAGTGTCATTCAAGGCTTTGATTTTGGACGGATTTTCCTTACCAGGTTTAGAACTGGAAGAATTATGTGTATAACATTGAATAAAAGCAGAAATACAGTAGATAGTATTTCACACTCGATATAAAGATTGTTTGTAAAAATCAATTGTAACTTTTAATTTATAAATTGCAAAAGTGTGACTGATGTTTTAAATTTACAGTTGCTGTATAAAAGTAACAGAAAGAATTTATCTACCTCTGACTAGACTGTTGTGTTGCTGGCGCCGCCCTGGTGTTTTGCAGGCGAACTACCTCCTGGTAGAATGCCTCCATTTGCAGGCGCAGCTCTTCAACTTTGGTTGTTTTTAAATCTGCTTGTAATTTCCTAGAAATAAAATTATGGTCAAACCATCAATTCAAGAAATACTGCTGATTGAAGCCGTTTTATACAACTGTTAACAATTTCTTTGTAGATACATCTATATACCATATATAGAAACAACACTGAATTGACATGGATTAAAAAATTCATGAAACTGTTGTAGGATTAAGGTTGTAATTTGATCCATAATAATATGCTTAGACAAATTCTTCACGATCTGTTAGCAGGTCTAACATACGTGAGGTTGCTCTCCTTATCCCTCAGTTGTTGCTCCAGTTTCAGCACCTTCTGTTTCATACTATGGATAACCTGCAAAATAATGAACATTTCAATAAAATTTAAACCAATATCAGTTATGTCAAACTGTTTTAACTGCTGGTTATTTATTGTGCTCACTTAAGCTTCCTGCAAATTTTACTTAAGTTAAAATTGAAAATAAGGCTTAACTTTTAACTCTCTCTCTCTCTCTCTCTCTCTCTCTCTCTCAACCTTCATTTCAAACAAATCTCCAGGGATTATATACTAAGAGCAATGTTAATATGTGCTATCATACTCACAGCACCAGTGTCAGGCTTTCTGTCCCCCAGGGTCCGCCGCATTTCTTCACTCTAGAATATTTTTTTTTGAAGATACAGTTGGTATCAGCTTATATTTTTTTTACATACTCTTTGACCTCCATACCAAAAAGCAAAAATATTTTTTTAAATATAAGCCTTTTTAAAAATGGTAAAATTCAAGCCCAACTTCACTTTAATTTGTTATTACTGATGCATCTCAGCACAGCCTGGTTCTAATACCACTTCACAACCCCTCCCATGGATGAAAAGCTGCGTAATATTACCGTACCCACTGCTCCCAAGCCATATAATCACTTACCTTACTTGGGTCCAGGAGAGTTTCTATTTCTCTTTCCTGGAAAATTTAACACAGACTTAAATATTTTCCTTCAGTACTCTGTATATTGCTAAGTTTTGTTCTCAGCAGCTTATTTCACCACCTGTTAGTTAACTATTATGTACTTCTTGACCAACAAGAGTAAGATGCTTAAAATTTTATCATACAAAGGAAAATGAAAGCTACCTTTTTCAAGTTGTCTTCCTCAAGCCTGCGTACTCTGGCTTTTTGCGTAGAATTTTCACTTGATATTGCTGCAATTTGCTGAAAAACAGTATATAACAAGTTGAAACAATTTTCATCTAGAAGTCATCAATATAAATAGATTTTAATAAATAAACGATATGTTTTAGTCATTATTAAAACGGTATAGATAAGATTCTTTTGGAAATGAAATGGAAAATTGATTTAAGGGACTAGTTTAATATAGAAAGACGGATCATGTGCAACTTTTACCTTTCTGAGTTCGAGAATTTCATCATAATATTCTTCAGGTGTTTTATAGGCAGGTGTTCCCTTGGCTGCCCTGGCTGAAAGCAATCAGATCAGACACCTGTCACTACACACACTCTGAGGATGAACCCATGTTCACAGCGAGACTATCTTAGACTAAGACAAAGACTTACTGGGCTCATCAGGTTACTTCAGATAGGATTAATAAGTATTCTGGATATCCCTACATCACCTTGTTGTCATCATCATCAGGTCTATTTAAGTTCAAATCTTACCACCTTCTATCTATCAATGCACTACAAAATATGAATGGGCAGCTAACAAAATACTACAGACATTAACATCTGAGTGTCTGTGCCACTCAGACATTAAAATGTATCATTTTTTTTAACCTGGCAAGTAACATACATAGCCATCACATCCTATGTAACTACCCACTAGCCACCTCCATGATGGTCATAGTGTACGAGTGCCTAACCCAACCCCTCACCTGTGGGGTCTCCACCTCCAGGCCGCGGTTTCTCTGTCCCTGCCATCTGTCTCATATAGTGGCTAGTGCTCAGGTATGCCATATCTCTGTCTGCAACATGGCGGTCACGGAACGTCATGCTACTGTTGTCCTTCACAGCTAGGGAACAGAAAATTAAAAAACTCAAAATAATTTTCAGAATCTGTGGGTAGATTTGGGAAGGAAGTCTCATTTTTTATCTTTTGACATTCACTATTTTCACATTTTCCACTCCCAAGTTGTTTTCATTCATCAACAAAAGAAGATTATAGTAAATAATTTAGCATGCAGTAGCAAGGGTTTATGCTCATATTTGAGCCACAATCTAAATACTGTGCTTATCTCATATAAATTTCTCAGTACTACCCTCACCAAAGGACTCAAGCACCCCCAACCCCTAATCAAAAGACTTTCAACTGTGAAGTTTGTTAACCCGTGCTCCTCTTACCTCCACTCTTCCTGAGGGTATCAGTCCAGTATTCCATGGGGGATCTCTTCCCCAGGTGTCCCTTGTTTTTACCTGATGCCATGTCTATAAAGACAAACAGAGGTTGACAGATTAATTAAGATAAAAATCTAAAGGCCATGTCTAGAAAGATGAAGGAGCTGACAGATTTAGAGACCATTCCTAGAGACTATTGTACTAACTTCAGATCAAACTATCTTCAAGCAGATTCTCGCTGACTTGCAATTAACTTAAGTGGCTTAGATGTCTGTCACACCTACTGAAGCTGATAGGGGGTAATTAACTAACATTTAGCAGCTTTAGTAGGCATCCCAGACATCTAAGCCACTTAAGCTGAAAGCAATTTAGCAAATTGTGGAGACTGACCCATCCGATCTAGGGATGGGAACCCAGTCTTAGAGAAAAGGCTAGCTTGTAATATTTTTTTGCCTAAAATAAGTACAATTCATTTACTACACTAAAGGACCATGCATTACATTCCAACTGTTTTTAAGAAATGAATGTGTTAAAAATATTAAGTGGCAATAAAGTGAATACCTATTTTTGTAAGTCACAATTTAAAAGGAACACAATAGTTACCCCCTGTCCTCTTCTTCACAGTGTCCAACCACATTTCTCGTACATTTTTCTGCGGGGCACTTCCTGTACGCCCCTTGCTTGGCGACCCTCCTCGCCGCATTCTTGATACTGATGGCACCAACTGAGATGTTTTCTTGTGTTTTGTGGGAGCTGAAAAGATTTTTTAAAAATACTGACTCTTCCACCTAATGCTGTTATCTATATAACCATAAGTGAAGGGGAACCGTAGACATACTTTAAATTTGGCACTCTGTTTTAATTTCCTAAATATTTTAAATCTAATATCAAAATATATCATATAAACTTTCACAAATAATCCATTATTTTTTGTTCCAACTGATGAATTACATTTTTGATTGAACAAAGGTAATTATGACCACTGTAAGACATGTACTACTACTACTACTACTACTTCCACCACTATTTCTACCACTACTATAATTAATAATACTAAAGGACATTTTCATACTGCTTATACACCACCTATTGCTTACCGTGAGCTGTATTCAATGGAGGTCTGCCTGTAATCTGCAACGAAAAGGTGGAAAATTGTGACTTAATCTATTCTTGTTTTTCCTTCAATTTCAATCAACATCAACGTTGGTCACAATTTGTTTTGGGCAAACTCATTATCAGTGCACTAGCTGGCTTCTTGAAATGGAAATCAAAACTGCCTTTTGCTATTTCACTGAAAATGTCTTTTTTTCAACAGTGTTATCAAACATTTCTAAGAATGTTTTGGGAAGGTCTATTTTATTTCCTTCATCTTCAATATTTATGTCTGACTGACTCAGAAATGAACTTACCCTTGCTATTTCTGTGTCCTCTTCATCTGATTGAAAATCATCTGAATAATCCTAAAATAAATGAGCATGTGCATCATGATCTTTTAGTTACAATCATGAATGGTAACATGTTATTTAAGTCATGAATGCAAAACAATGATCAAATCAAAAAGCCTGGACAAATCACACTATTATCAAACTTGTTAACAATCTTAACACCTTAGCCTCCAATAACTACAATCTTAGCTCAAATCGTAACTGCTTAAAGTTTCTATATAACAGCTGCAATTAAAAGGACTTCCAAAGCACCTTAGCCCTCCTCATTTTACCACTACTTCTGAATCATAAGAAAAACATTCATTTATATACAGGTTAGCATGACCTTGGTAAAATGATGCTTGAACTACTTCAATTCATTTTATCTAAATTCAAAGGCAAACAAAGCACCTGCTCTGCATACAAAGTCATAACTTGTTTGACTTGTGATCCCTGAGTAAGTAAATGTACAGAGAAGAGCTATCAGTCCCGCCCACGTCCCGGGGGAGAGACATAGCAACCAGGATAAACAAAACTCCACCATGCTAGCTAAGGTCTCTTGTTATCTGTTGCTACTCAAAAAGACAGCTTTTCAATAACTGCGCAATGTAATGCAATACAGAGTACATGCCACAGGTAAATCTTATATGTGGCCATTTTAACATACCATGTACAAGCATGCTGATATTAACCTGATATGTCAGAGCAGTGGCATTTACAATGGGCTTACAATCACTTCAGCAAACATATAATTGCACTTTCAGGAGACTCAGACAGCGATAAAAACAGATTTGATTTCTTTTTTTTTTCCTTACTTTTCATAAACACCTATTTAAGACTACTAGTACTTGCATATAGTTATACGTACATAACCAGTGTTAGACTCCGTTCACGTGAAAAATCTATTTTCTAAAAAATCTATTTTCTATTCGGGGTATCTTGTGATCACTCCGAGCACAGCCGAGAATTAATTACAGCTTTGGAAGTAACTGGCTCGCACTGCCAGTAATTACGCCACAGGATATTCAGGGCACAGACCGTGATCACAAGATACCGCGAATAGAAAATAGATTTTTAGAAAACAGACTTTTCATGAGAACTGAGCCTTATATCTAGAGCTCTATTTGTTCCAGTGAGTACCCAATTTTTAAGCAACACTAAAAATAATTTCTTATCAATAACAGAAATATTAATTAAACTAAAAATTACTAGGTGATCTACTAGTTACAAGGATTAATTTGGCAGAAAAACTTTCAACATCTGGCTAAATCAAAACCTATAGAGTGATTCTGAATATGAGAACAGTTATACTGGGTATTCTTCTTTATAATTATTTAATTTTTCATAAGCAAGAATTTGAAATAAAAGCATTTTTTAAATTTAGCTGGAACTGCACTTCATATAAACACTTACAAATATTTTTTCTTAACCATATTACTAGTATACTTATCTTATACTTCATCAATACATCAGTCACATACATATTGCAAACGGTATTCATAAGACACCAATAGAGACTATATATGTGGATATTATTAATTGCTATTTTCCAGCATATCTTACAAAATTTATACACCTTATAATAGTCCAATATGTAAGAACATGTACAGATATGCCTGTACACTTATAAAGGCTACCAAGTGTTCTAATAATTACAAATATGCATACACAACTGTCTATGTTAAATATGATATTTCAATAACTAAAACAGTCACATAATCAATATCAATGCTGTTCCAATTAGATTCACAAAAGGAACATGTTGCTTCTCTAAATTAGTTTGCTACATGGTAATTTTGTGTGCACTAATCAGATTAATCACATACAGCACTAGAAGATGAAGCTAATCTACAGAAATAATGACTGATCTTCCTACCTTTTCATCATAGGGCATCTTAAGCAGCACACATGGATGGCATATTTCCACCTGTGCTGGGGTATATTCCAAATGTCAGTGTTTCACTCACTGAAAAAAAAAAACATTTCAAGAACTGCATTCAGATGTAAGTTAGGCAGCCACAGCTCAAGATTAAATCTCATAATACTATTTAATTGAATATACTTATTTCGCGCATATATATATATATATATCCTTGTATGCACTATATGCATGAGGTATGTTGGTCATCTAAGGAATCCAGTATATATGGCTAGTAAATATTGGCTCTAATAATCTGAATTAATGACTTAGGGTGCATTCCCATAGATTTTAGATCGATCTATCCCCGTGGGGAGTCCCACTAGATTACTGTCAGATAATCCGGTTTTAATGTCCGTCCCACCTACTACAAGCTGTAAGGGGGGAATTAACTTTCGTGCCCACTCGGCTGACAGCTTTTTAGCAAGAATCCCCAGGGAGTTAGGTCGATCTAGTTGGATCGATCTAATCTCTGGGAATGGGGTCTTAGGCATTTTTGTAAATGAGACTCACTAAAACTAAAGCATAAGGACCTTAATTCAAAACACTGTTGTCATATAATAAAAATTTATATCTGAGAAAAATNCGTTTTTCCCTCCCAAGTTGTGTTCATTTATCAACAAAAGAACAGATATTATAATAAAGAGTTTTGCACAGGCACAATAGCTAGGGTTTGATGCACATATCTGATACACAATCCGAATATTGTGGGAATCTCATATGAATTTCACAGTACTACACTCACCAAAGGACTATCAAGCCATGCTCCTCTAACTCCCCCCCCCCCCCCCCCACCCACACACACACCTCTCTCACAAGAAGTTTGTTAACCTGTGCCCATCTTACCTCCACTCTTCCTGAGGGTATCAGTCCAGTATTCCATGGGGGATCTCTTCCCCAGGTGTCCCTTGTTTTTACCTGACGCCATGTCTATAAAGACAAACAGAGGTTGACAGATTAATTAAGATAAAAATCTAAAGGCCATGTCTAGAAAGATGAAGGAGCTGACAGATTTAGAGACCATTCCTAGAGACTATTGTACTAACTTCGGATCAAACTATCTTCAAGCAGATTCTCGCTGACTTGCAATTAACTTAAGTGACTTAGATGTCTGTCACGCCTACTGAAGCTGATAGGGGGAAATTAACTAACATTTAGCAGCTTTAGTAGGCGTCCCAGACATCTAAGCCACTTAAGCTGAAAGCAATTTAGCAAGAAACCCTGTGTAGACTGACCCATCCGTTTAGATCAATCTAGGGATGGGAACCCAGTCTTAGAGAAAAGGCTAGCTTATAAGATTTTTTTTCCTAAAATAAGTACAATTCATTTACTACACTAAAGGACCATGCATTACATTCCGACTGTTTTTAAGATATGAATTTGTTTAAAATATTAAGCGACAAGAAAGTGAATACCCATTTTTGTAAATCATAACTTAAGAGGAACCCAAAAATTACCCCCTGTCCTCTTCTTGACAGTGTCCAACCACATTTCTCGTACATTCTTCTGCGGGGCACTTCCTGTACGCCCCTTGCTGGGCGACCCTCCTCGCCGCATTCTTGATGCTGATGGCACCAAATGAGATGTTTTCTTGTGTTTTGTGGGAGCTGAAATTTTTTTTTTAATATTGACTATTCTACCCAATTTTGTATATTTGTATAACCATAAGTGAAGGGGAACCTTGGACAGACTTTATATTTGGGCACTCTGTTTAAATTTCCTACATATTATAAATCCAATATTAAAATATATCATATAAACTTTCACAAATAATCCATTATTTTCTGTTCCAACTAATGACTTACATTTTTGTTTAAACAAAGATAATTATGACCATTGTAAGACATATACTACTACTATTTCTACCACTATTTCTACTACTATTTCTACTACTACTACAATGAATAATACTAAAGGACATTTCCATGCTGCTATACACTACCTATTGCTTACCGTGAGCTGGTTTCAATGGGGGTCTGCCTGTGATCTGCAAAGAAAAGGAGAAGAATTGTGATTTAATCTGTTCTTGCATATTTTTGGGGGTTTATTTTGTACTTTCAATTTCAATCATCGTTGGTTTGTTTTGGGCAAACTCATCATCAGTGCCCTAGCTGGCTTTTTGACAAGGAAATCAAAACTGCCTTTTGCTATTTCACTGAAAATATCTTTTTTTCAACAGTGTTATCAAACATTTCTAAGAATGTTTTGGGAAGGTCTCTTTTATTTCCTTCTTCTTCAATATTTATGTCTGACTGCAACTGCCTCGGAAATGAACTTACCCTTGCTATTTCTGTGTCCTCTTCATCTGATTGAAAATCATCTGAATAATCCTAAAATAAATGAACATGTGCATCATGATCTTTTAGTTACAATGGTAACATGTTACTTAAGTCATGAATGCAAAAACACTGATCAAATCAAAAAGCCTGGACAAATCACACTATAATCAAACTTGTTAACAATCTTAACACCCTAGCCTCCAATAACTACAATCTTAGCTCAAATCGTAACTGCTTAAAGTTTCCATAACAGCTGCAATTAAAAGGACTTCCAAAGCACCTTAGCTCTCCTCATTTTAGCACTACTTCTGAATCATAAGAAAAACATTCATTTATATACAGGTTTGTTTGACCTTGGAAAAATGATGCTTGAACTACTTCAGTTCATTTTATCTAAATTTAAAGGCAAACAAAGCACCTGCTCTGCATACAAAGTCATAACTTGTTTGACTTGTGATCCCTGAGTAAGTAAATGTACAGAGAAGAGCTATCAGTCCCGCCTCACACATCCCAGGGGAGAGACATAGCAACCAGGATAAACAAAAACCACACAAAGCTAGCTAATGTCTCTTATTGTTATCTGTTGCTACTCAAAAAGACAGCTTTTCAATAACTGTGCAATGTAATGCAATATGGATTACATGCCACAGGTAAATCTTATATGTGTCCATTTTAACAAACCATGTACAAGCATGCTGATATAACTTCAACATTAAGCTGATGTGTCAGAGCAGTGCCATTTACAATGGGCTTACAATCACTTCAGCAAACATATAATTGCACTTTCAGGAGACTCAGACAGCGATAAAAACAGATTTGATTTCTTTTTTTTTTCTTACTTTTCATGAACACCTATTTAAGACTACTAGTACTTGCATATAGTCGCACGTACATAACCAGTGTTAGACTCCGTTCACATGAAAAATCTATTTTCTAAAAATCTATTTTCTATTCGGGGTATCTTGTGATTACTCCGAGTGCAGCCGAGAATTAATTACAGCTTTGGCAGTAACTGGCTCGCACTGCCAGTAATTACGCCGCGGGGTATTCAAGGCACAGACCGTGATCACAAGATACCGCGAATAGAAAATAGATTTTTAGAAAATAGACTTTTCATGAGAACGGAGCCTTATATCTAGAGCTCTATTTGTTCAAGTGAGTACCCAATTTTTCGGCAACACTAAAAATAATTTCTTATCAATAACAGAAATATTAGTTAAACTAAAAATTGGTGATTAAGGTATAAGGAATAATTTGGCAGAAAAAACTTTCAACTTTCTGGCTAAATCTAAACCTATAGAGTGAATATGAGGACAGTTATAATGGGTATTCTTCTTTATATTTAATTTTTCATAAGCAAGAATTTGAAATAAAAGCTTTTTTTAAAATTCAGCTGGAACTGCACTTCATATTAACACTTAGAAATAGTTTTTTCTAAACCATATTACTAGTGTGCTTCTCTTATACTTCATCAATACATCAGTCACATACATATTGCAAACGGTATTCATAAGACACCAATAGAGACTATATATGTGGATATTATTAATTGCTATTTTCCAGCATATCTTACAAAATTTATACACCTTATAATAGTTTAATATGTAAGAACATGCACAGATATGCCTGTACACTTATAAAGGCTGACAAGTGTTCTAATAATTACAAATATGCATACACTGCTGTCTATGTTCAATGTGATATTTCAATAACTGAAACAGTCACATAATCAATATCAATGCTGTTCCAATTAGATTCACAAAAGGAACATGTTGCTTCTCTAAATTAGTTTGCTACATGGCAATTTTGTTGTGCACTAATCAGATTAATCACATACAGCACTAGAAGATGAAGCTAATCTACAGAAATAATGACTGAACTTCCCTACCTTTTCATCATAGGGCATCTTAAGCAGCACACATGGATGGCATATTTCCACCTGTGCTGGGGTATATTCCAAATGTCAGTGTTTCACTCACTGAAAAAAAAAAACATTTCAAGAACTGCATTCAGATGTAAGTTAGGCAGCCACAGCTCAAGATTAAATCTCATAATACTATTTAATTGAATATACTTATTTCGCGCATATATATATATATATATATATATATATCAAATCCTTGTATGCACTGTATGCATGAGGTATGTTGGTCATCTAAGGAATCCAGTATATATGGCTAGTAAATATTGGCTCTAATAATCTGAATTAATGACTTAGGGTGCATTCCCATAGATTTTAGATCGATCTATCCCCGTGGGGAGTCCCACTAGATTACTGTCAGATAATCCGGTTTAAATGTCCATCCTGCCTACTACAAGCTGTAAGGGGGGAATTAACTTTCGTGCCCGCTCGGCTGACAGCTATTTAGCAAGAATCCCCAGAGAGTTATGTCGATCTAGTTGGATCGATCTAATCTCTGGGAATGGGGTCTTAGGCATTTTTGTAAATGAGACCCACTAAAACTAAAGCATAAAGACCTTAATTTAAAACACTGTTGTCATATAATAAAAATTTATATCTGAAAAAAATAACTTTCCAAGAAAACTTATTTTCATACATTATTTGCATACATGTACTTTTTCCTATATGATGGGAATAAAATGATGAAAGAAAACTAAAAAAAAACACATAAAATGAAATCTATTCAAATTCCAGAAGGAAAAAATATTCATGTAAACAATTTCCAATATCTTTGGTATAGAATAAACCATTTTAAGAAATGTTAGAGCAATTTTCATGGAAGTTTTAACACTCTCTCTCCTTAATCTCGGACTATATCCAAAACCTCTGACAAAATTATGATCTATAAACTAAGGTCTGTGTTTCTAATTTTTGGACTGATGAAGCAAGAGACTTGAATTTCACTTGTAACAGGAAAAATTATAACATTTGAGGAGCTATGAGATTACAGTTTGTATCTCAAAGCTTTTGGTCAGGGTTCTAAGATACCTTGGTGATAAAGGAAAACTGCTACAGTTTCCAAGATTTTATTTTGCTATAAAATAGTCCAACAATGTATGCATATGAAAGCAAGTTAAATTTTCCAGCTAAATTTAGTTATGGCCCATTTTTTTGCTGTAGCAAGTGCTTTAACAAACCCACCCACTAAATATCCTTTTGGTACTTATAGTACTTATACTACCCCTCCTTTGTCCAACCTGACAACCATTCATTCATTCAAAAGATAATGTTAAACTTCTAATCACTCGGTGTTAATTAACTTCTACAGATTTAGTGACAGTGTGGTGGGGCGGGGGTACTCAGTTTTTGCAACACTGGTTAGGCTTCATAACACCCTACTGAGGCTATATTTCATTAATATCATGCTAGTTTATACCAGGGGAAATGTGGGTCCTCTGTCATACTTTAAAGTAAATCATTTGCATTTAAAGCATTTTGGTATTTGTACATACCACATTTGCAACATTACCACCACTTCAGCACACCATTTGTAAGTGAAGTTGTATGTAGCCCTTGATAACATAAAACACCGGCCTTTCCTTTCCTGAGGCGAGGGTCGGGGGGGGGGGGGCAAAACAACGTTCATAAAATTAAGAATTATTACATATTATGCATTTTTTCAGTAATAAAGTCTAAAGCAATCTCTGAGAAAGACTAACTGAAGGGCGGGCGAGACAATCTTGGTAAAGTAACTGTTGTCAATAATTGATATGAATTTCGACTGGCACAGTCTCAGTCACAGGCAGAGAGGTAACGTTGTTCAGCTTGGCTCAAGCCAATACAAGGCTCTTCTCAAAGCTTTAATTAATCAAATCATATAATTTCTACATACAAAAGGATGGAACAACAGCATAATTCATATATTATATGTTACTCATATGAATATTACGGAATATGACTATCACATCCTAAGGCACCATAAATGTAACAAGTACTCTACATACCAACTCTATGTCATGTTGCCCTACTTCAAATAAACATTGGATTGATGCTATGTCTCGCCAAAACACGCGAAATCTCGTCATGATTTTGGTGCTTATTTTTCAGATTATATGGCTTATTTTTATAGTATCTGATTTTGAACGATCATATTACAACAAGCAGTACGTTTCATTGTTTTTCTTTATATATGAAAGACAAAATCAGAAACAGAAAAAGAAACAGTCACATGATATTCAAAAATAGGTCAAGCACGCAAGGTGCGACCTTCATTTTTGGGTCATATGATTGGTTAGATACTGAAAATGGCCGCCGACTTGACGTTCGGTAAGAGAACCTGCAGTTGCGTGCTGTTATTGAAGTGAAATCATTACACTTACAATGAGACACTACAGTTGATGCAAGGTTTACATAATTTTCTTCCATTTCAGGGTCGGTGCCACCCTTCTACAGGGAGATCTACGACATAGTATGCCCAAATCAAGAGCAAGTGGATCGCGATATGTTTATCAACTTACTCGTGAAGTCCAGCCTCCCCAAACAAACCCTGATGCAGGTGAGGTCTCTTTCATGTGATACCTCAGCATTCGCAACTCTAAAAAAATGGGGTTATTTATATTTTGATACACTACAACTAATTACGTATGTGGCAATAATATTCGTGTTATTATAATATTCCAAAGCGTGAACTTTATTGTAAGTAAATTCCTCAGGTGGTGGGCGTATCTCCATCCATACTAACTGATAAAATACAATGTAACATATCTCTGTACCACGGGGATACAGGTGTTCATTCCTGTCACCTTATGACTTCTAATTGTGTTTACATTAGCATAATTTATTTCATTTCAATCAGCTGATTATGCTGAAAATTATCAAACGCATTTGTCACTTCTGTGGCTTAGATAAAGCTGATATTATATCATCCCCCAATAATCTGTATTTGGAAATAATAAGATATAACACTGCTAGTTGGGGGGGGGGGGGGTTGTACTTTACTTTGATGAGCAATTCATTCTGTAAATCATTTGAATTTTTTTTTTTGATAAATCAGTATTCAAATTTAAATTCTCCTAAGTTAATTTAAATGGTCAAAATAAGCCTAAAATATAGATCCCGTATTGAATGTTTTAAATTTGATTTAACAAAACTTTTGATTTGGTGTGTTCTGTCAGTTTCCATGAATACAAGTGCAAAATTTTTTAAACCAATCCTGTCTTTCATTTTCTCATTATTGTAGAATAGATGACAGTAGCTGTATATTGAAAGGGATTTTTTGCATGCATTTAATCATGGTGCAATGAAAGGAAAGGGTCAGTTGTATTCTAGTGCAAAATCTTATGGTTTTACTTTTAGGATTTTGTTTATTTTGTTCCTTTGTTTTCTTTCAACTGATATATGTATAAAATGTTTTAACTCAATTATAGATAATTTAAAGCAGAATTACAAAGACTTCTGATCCACTGTTTTTTTTCTGATCTCTAACAAATTTGGATGTCATTGGCCCAAAAGGAGTAATTAAAGTAATAGCCTGCTGTCATCCTGTTATACATTTATTTACTAGTATATAAATTATTTTAATGGTAAAAAAGTATATATTTATGTATTTATATTTGATAAAGGTAAAGTTAAGTGGGAAAATTAATGTTTTATCTAATAAAATAATAGCTAAAAAGCAGTTTACTAGTATTCAGTTATTCAGAATATTTTAGTTTGTCCATTAGTTGCTAACCTTTACATTTGGTCTGTTTTAAATGAGAGCATTTACCCTGACAGTCCAAATGCATTAATTTGGTTAGAGGATAAAAACCTGCAGCTTCACTAAACCATTGTTTCTGTCTGTTTAGTTCCCCAAACAGAATGTACAACATGTAAGATTTTAATCTCTATACCTCTTACACAATAAAATTACGCAAGCTTCATGTATTCACTAATTAGTGGCTTAGTTTTATATATTAGTCAGCAGCATCACCAGAAGCCCACAACTAAACACAGATACATGTATTCTATTTATTTATTCACTTGCTGATGGATGTTTATGTCCATAGGGAGTTGTTTTCATTTAATAATATGCGTAGGATATAAATGTCAGCAATTGATTAATCTGTTTGACTGCAATAATTCAGACAGGTCATAAAAACACCAGGTATAAATGTCTACTTGAGATATATGATGCAGTGTTTGGGTCATTTATTAAGCCTGGCATATAAAATTCTTATCTACATTTACTGACCACTTTATATTAGTGTATGCAAAACTGGGAAATGGCCTGTGTGTGTGTGTGTGTGTGTGTCACAGTGTGTGTGTGTGTGTGTGTGTGTGTGTGTGTGTGTGTGTGTGCATGTGTGTGTGGGGGGGTGTGTANGTAGAAAATATTATTGGTTTAAGCCTGAGTATTTCAGGCTATTCTACCGAAAATGCTCTTCAGCTAGGAAGTTGGTGTAGTGTTTGTTGTTATATGAAAGTAACATCACAGTTATCTAGTTTAGTCCTCTTTGTTTTCATATACCGGAGTCTTAATATAATAACTCTGGTTGTTTAGCTTCATTAGTTTTATGAAGAAATTATATATATATATATATATATATATATATATATGATGGTCTTTTTATAGTGTCGGTTATGGGCAAATTGTTTATTTAAAAATTTCTACAAGCAATAAAAAAGCACAAGCTTCATGTAGGATGGGGGTTGTACATGTATATGGGTCATTCCACAAAAGGTGACTCTTAGTCACATCCGTGAAGCTCACAGTGTGTGCAAAATTTGCATAATTTTGACTTGTCTCTGTTTTAAATTATTTTTCTTTTAAATGTGGAAAGAAATAAAATATAATTACAAAAAGTTGACAAGGTAATGTGTGAAGCACTGACTGAATTCTGATAGTCACTTTTTTGTGGAATGTCACACCCATGGAAGATTTTCAACCATTCATTGTATTAATAATTAGTATCATTATATTTATTGTTTTTATTATTAATTTTACATTTTGTGTACAGATCTGGGATCTAGTAGACAACAAGCAAGGTTACCTGAGTAGGACAGGACTGTACAAGGCTCTAGCACTGACTGCTATGGCACAGCAGGGAAAAGCCATCAGTGAAAAACTGTTAGAAACTTACTCAGATCAAGGTGGGGGAATGATTGTGAAAGAGAGATCTCTGTAAAAGTAAAGAAAGACACTTGGTTGTTCCCATGTTTTTAGTTTGCTTTCAAATAAATATATGTATTCTGATTAAGTAGTGGAGGATAAGTCTTTCACTTACATGAAACATATTGTAATATGAGACAAAAACAGCTGAAATATATTTTCCAGAATTATACTAACAACCAGTAATATTTTCAAATATTACAATGATACAGGTTTCTTGTTTCAAGCAATTATATCAACATTTATTTTAATTTTCCTACAGAATTACCAAAGCCCCAGCTAGGAGACTTGACAGATTTGAAAGCCATAGGCATGAGAGTTAGGAGAGAAAAGAACCCCAATGTGCTGGGTTATAATTATAAAGAACTTTGCCTCTTAGATACTATAAAAGTTGAACGAGTCCCAGAGAAGAAAGGCATCATCATGAAACATGTGGAATATGAAGTGACTAGTCAGGTAAGAACATGGAAAAATAAAGAAAATATTTGCTTGTTATATTTCAGACATGAGCTTTTTCTGCAGAAACACAGAATTCTGCATTTTTAAATTCAATTATGATGGTTCCTGAGATTCTTCAAGATCTGCAATAAAATCTGGTTATAAATGAGGTTTTTATTTTATTTTCTTTTGAAACCTAGGCTCATGACTTTTATTTGGTATTTAATACTTTCACCTTGACATTTTGAGTCATGTACAGACACCATACTGTGGCATAATTCCATTATGTTTGAGTTGGTTGACACTCAGCTCCTGATACTTTGGTAACACCCCTCTCATGCTGGTTAGGATTGCATTTCAAATTATACAGATAGAAAATTGACCTCTACAGAAGTCTAAAATTATACAAAAATCTTGAGTAGGTGGGTAGTACTGGGACATAATTGAGGGTTGTAGTAATTATTTGGGGTCACTGAAGACATTAATAACAGTGTATATATGTCATTTGTGTGGACAGTGGACGTGTTTCTTGGTTATGGTGGCTTTACTTAGTTTGCACCAGCGTAGCCAACTGTGTTATTAGGATGTTTATATATGTAGGTAAATAAACAGATACTCTATTCATGGATTTTTAGTTGATATTGCTCAGAATTAAAACAAGCATTCCTGTCAATTTTTTTTAAACAGAAATTCAAGGTTACTGTACTAAGAAGATACAATGACTTCTTGGCCTTGCATGAGCTGCTTTTATTGAGGTTTCCTTATAGAATGATTCCACGTCTGCCACCGAAGAAAATGATGGGAGGTAGGCATATTGATTTTATTATTTTTATTTTGTTAAGACGTGATTAATTTATGTTGCTTGTAGGTATTGTTAGATGTTTGATTGATATTCAGTTTGCTTAAATAAATAATTGAGCTCTTTTTGAAGAGTATTTTCAAATTGTATAATCAGTAGCGCTGCTGAATACAACATGGTTTTTCTTTGTGTTACAGCAAGTAGAGAATTCATAGAACACAGACGAAAATGTCTGCGTCGTTACCTGAACCTAGTCGCCAGGCACCCAGTAATGGGAGATGACAAATTAATGAGGTTCTTCCTGACTTACAATGGCTCAGTAAGTGCTGTCTTAGGGCGCATTCAGATTCACACGCTCAAGCTGGGTTGGCCCAACTCTGTGGGGGGGATTCTTGCTAAAGTACAATCAGTGGAATAAGCTTAATCGGCACACGATAGTTATTTATCCCTTAGCTGCTTGAGGAGGAACAATATTTTGTCAGTCAAACAAGCTGATTCCAGTTGTTAGACCAGCCAATTTGAATATATATATATATTGTATAGGAATATAGAGTATGACATTTGGTTTCACTTTCATTTTCTGACATGTTAAAAATATCTCTTAATTCATCTCTGTTTTTTCAGGAGATGCAACACAAAATAAAAGAACACTTTAAAGGAATTCCAGATGAATTTATGACAAGTGAACTGGCTTCAAAAGCAAAGGTAATCAGTACTTAATTTTACCCATTATAAAGTAAATTATATACATAATAAATGCATTATATATGTTTGCTCATGCACATTCTTATCAGTGCAAGTTATTGTTGATAATTGGCAGTAATCATTCACATTAAGTATATTTGAACTACTCTGAGCATTTGGTACTAATTGAATATTTAATGACACTGATCATATTGATTTGGTCAGTTAAAACTCATTTTAAGTAAAATGTAACACAGACATATCAGTTAATACAAGGGTCTTGATTGTTAATATTTGATTAACTAGGATATAGTGCCAATGGACACACAGATGCAATTAGCCCACAGTAAACAGCATATCTATCTACTGTACTCAAGTGTGAACAAGTTGATAGATGTCACAGAGAGAATGGTGCTACGCTCCACGCAGGAGGCAGGGGACATGCTGCATTTTGGGAAGGAATTGAGGTTTGTTGGTAACGTGGTTGCACTGTATGAGATATTTTAGTGTACTTAACAGATGTGTGTTTTCAGCAAGGCTAAGAGATTTACTTAGCTTGCACATTTTTGTGACCAGTTTTACTACTTATATGAAGTCATTAGTCATAATTTCACATAAAAGAATTAAATGGGTTTCTTATGTATCTTTAATTCTTTAACCTCCTTGTTTTATTTTGCTCTCTTTTAATTTGTTCTTCTCCTTGGTGGAAGCTTTGAAAAAAGTTCACTTATTCTCCTCCATATATCTCTCCAGTGCTCTGAGTAGTGACGACACCCCCGTGTCTCCATGGGCGACAGGAACCAATGACACGTGGTCCCACCTGAAGAAGGGGTTCAAGCACCTGTCCGTAGAGTTTGCCACCCTTGCAGACAAGGCCACTTCACAGGTTAGTGTGGACATACTGAGACTGGCTTTATCTGGTGGAGAGCTTTGAAATTCTTATCCATTATGGATTGTGCATGATTTTTTGGTAGTAACATAAAGTAATCATAAATGAGTTGTTTTAACATGTGTCTGTATGGCTGAAATAAATATTCTCATTATTATATTCAGCTATAGTTGATAGTTATAGATATTACTGTGATCTGGGAGTAAGCAATCAAATGTTGACTAGACAACTGGAAAATATAAAATCCTAGCAGATGAAATGTATATGACATAACTCTTTGGGGACATCCTGAAGTCACATAACCCTTGGAATTTTTTTCAAAATTTGTTGAAAAAGAGAGTAATGAACTTATATTGCTTTTGGTGAAATACACATGCTAAGATTGTTGTTACAAGTTTTAGTAAAATTATTTTCATTGACAAAATAGTTCTTAGTCTTAAAATATTTATTATTATTTTGTGAAGGCGTCAGTCATCCAGGATAGTGTAGTGGGGCAGTTATACATGTACTTTGACTTACTTAGTGCATTTAAGGTAAGAAATACCTGAAAGTAAAAAATGAAAATATATTTTATATCCTCTATCCAAACTTAATGCTGACAGGAACAGACCTCTATACAGGGATGAGATTTTCCTAGATCCCTTCAGGCTTGCCATATTATCTGCCTTTTTCACTACATGACAGTCTCATCCTTTTGTCTTTATCATCTAGTGCGCTGAGCTTTCTCATTTCTTATATCACAAACACATTGTACATGTTTTATATAATGAAATGTTTGCCCTCTATCAATTTTTTTCAATGGTGAAAATTAAAAAAGCATGTAATCCAGTCCCATTTTACTTCAGGACCTGTGTGAACGGCATGAGAAAGGAGTTCTACAGGACCACCAGAGGGCGATACAGAAGATGGGCCAGTACAAGAAGAAGAAGATGACGGCCACGGTGCAAGGCTCAGAGGTAATATTAGGCCATCTTGAGAAACTTGTAAAGTTCTGAAATCTATTTTATGACTTAAACATGTACTTAACAGTGGCACAGTTTATGATTATCCAAAAATGTTTGAAACAAAAATGAATGTTTATAGTCAAAGTATAATTGGATCAAAGAAAGGAACATAAAATTAAATTATAATTTTAAAAGGGGTTTTGTAAATATATATATATATATATATATATATATATATATATATATATATATATAANTTTCATGTAGGATGGGGGTTGTACATGTATATGGGTCATTCCACAAAAGGTGACTCTTAGTCACATCCGTGAAGCTCACAGTGTGTGCAAAATTTGCATAATTTTGACTTGTCTCTGTTTTAAATTATTTTGCTTTTAAATGTGGAAAGAAATAAAATATAATTACAAAAAGTTGACAAGGTAATGTGTGAAGCACTGACTGAATTCTGACCGTCACTTTTTTGTGGAATGTCACACCCATGGAAGATTTTCAACCATTCATTGTATTAATAATTATTATCATTATATTTATTGTTTTTATTATTAATTTTACATTTTGTGTACAGATCTGGGATCTAGTAGACAACAAGCAAGGTTACCTAAGTAGGACTGGATTGTACAAGGCTCTAGCACTGACTGCTATGGCACAGCAGGGAAAAGCCATCAGTGAAAAACTGTTAGAAACTTACTCAGATCAAGGTGGGGGAATGATTGTGAAAGAGAGATCTCTGTAAAAGTAAAGAAAGTCATTTGGTTTTTGGTATATTTTAAGTTTGCTTTAAAATAAATATATGTATTCTGATTAAGTAGTGAAAGGTAAGTCTTTCACTTACATGAAACATATTGTAATATGGGACAAAAACAGCTGAAATATATTTTCCAGAATTATACTAACAACCAGTAATATTTTCAAATATTACAATGATACAGGATTCTTGTTTCAAGCAATTATATCAACATTTATTTTAATTTTCCTACAGAATTACCAAAGCCCCAGCTAGGAGACTTGACAGATTTGAAAGCCATAGGCATGAGAGTTAGGAGAGAAAAGAACCCCAATGTGCTGGGTTATAATTATAAAGAACTTTGCCTCTTAGATACTATAAAAGTTGAACGAGTCCCAGAGAAGAAAGGCATCATCATGAAACATGTGGAATATGAAGTGACTAGTCAGGTAAGAACATGGATAAATAAAGAAAATATTTGCTTGTTATATTTCAGACATGAGCTTTTTCTGCTGAAACACAGAATTCTGCATTTTTAAATTCAATTATGATGGTTCCTGAGATTCTTCAAGATCTGCAATAAAATCTGGTTATAAATGAGGTTTTTATTTTATTTTCTTTTGAAACTTAGGCTCATGACTTTTATTTGGTATTTAATACTTTCACTTTGACATTTTGAGTCATGTACAGACACCATACTGTGGCATAATTCCATTATGTTTGAGTATGTTGACACTCAGCTCCTGATACTTTGGTAATACCCCTCTCATGCTGGTTAGGATTGCATTTCAAATTATACAGAAAGAGAATTGACCTCTACAGAAGTCTAAAATTATACAAAAATCTTGAGTAGGTGGGTAGAACTGGGACATAATTGAGGGTTGTAGTAATTATTTGGGGTCACTGAAGACATTAATAACAGTGTATATATGTCATTTGTGTGGACTGTGGACGTGTTTCTTGGTTATGGTGGCTTAACTTAGTGTGTACCAGCGTAGCCAGCTGTGTTATTACAATGTTTATATATATGTAGGTAAATCAGCAGATACTGTATTCATGGATTTTTAGTTTATATTGCTCAGAATTAAAACAAGCATTCCTGTCAATTTTTTCACAGAAATTCAAGGTTACTGTACTGAGAAGATACAATGACTTCTTGGCGTTGCATGAGCTACTTTTATTGAGGTTTCCTTATAGAATGATTCCACGCCTGCCACCGAAGAAAATGATGGGAGGTAGGCATATCGATTTTATATTTTTATTTTGTTAAGACGTGATTAATTTATGTTGCTCGTAGGTATTGTTAGATGTTTGATTGATATTCAGTTTGCTTAAATAAATAAATAAATAATTGAGCCCTTTTTGAATAGTATTTTCAAATTGTATAATCAGTAGCGCTGCTGAATACAACATGGTTTTTCTTTGTGTTACAGCAAGTAGAGAATTCATAGAACACAGACGAAAATGTCTGCGTCGTTACCTGAACCTAGTCGCCAGGCACCCAGTAATGGGAGATGACAAGTTGATGAGGTTCTTCCTGACTTACAATGGCTCAGTAAGTGCTGTCTTAGGGCGCATTCAGATTCACACATCATACTAGCTGGGTCGGCCCAACTCTGGGGATTCTCGCTAAAGTACAATCAGTGGAATAAGCTTAATCAGCACACAATAGTTATTTATCCCTTAGATGCTTGAGGAGGAACAATATTTTGTCAGTCAAAGAAGCTGATACCAGTAGTTAGACCAGCCAATTTAAAAATATTGTATAGGAATATAGAGTATGACATTTGGTTTCACTTTCATTTTCTGACATGTTAAAAATATCTCTTAATTCATCTCTGTATTTTCAGGAGATGCAACACAAAATAAAAGAACACTTTAAAGGAATTCCAGATGAATTTATGACAAGTGAACTGGCTTCAAAAGCAAAGGTAATCAGTACTTTATTTTACCCATTATAAAGTCAATTATATACATAATAAATGCATTATATATGTTTGCTCATGCACATTCTTATCAGTGCAAGTTATTGTTAACAATTGGCAGTAGTCATTTACATTAAGTATATTTGAACTACTCCGAGCATTTGGCACAAATTGAATATACAGTGACACTGATCATATTGATTTGTTCAGTTTAAACTCATTTTAAATAAAATGTGGCACAGACATATTAGTTAATACAAGGGCCCTGATGGTTAATATTTCATTAACTAGGATATAGTGCCAATGGACACACAGGTGCAATTATCCCACAGTAAACAGCATATCTATCTACTGTACTCAAGTGTGAACAAGTTGATAGATGTCACAGAGAGAATGGTGCTACGCTCCACGCAGGAGGCAGGGGACATGCTGCATTTTGGGAAGGAATTGAGGTGCGTCATTGAGGTGGCCTCACTGTGTGAGATATTTTAAAGTATGCAACAGCTATATGCTTTCAGCTAGGCTTAGAGAATTGCATAGCTTGGGCAATTTTTGTGACCAGTTTTACTAATTATATAAAGTCATTAAATTAAATTAAATGGGTTTCTTATGTATCTTTAATTCCTTAACTTCCTTGCTTCATTTTGCTCTCTTTTAATTTGTTGTTTTTCTCTTTGGTGGAAGATTTGAAAAAAAGTTCACATATTCTGATCCTCCATATATCTCCCCAGTGCTCTGAGTAGTGACGACACCCCCGTGTCCCCCTGGGCGACAGGAACCAATGACACATGGTCCCACCTGAAGAAGGGGTTCAAACACCTGTCTGTAGAGTTTGCCACCCTTGCAGACAAAGCCACTTCACAGGTAAGTGTGGACATACTGAGACAGGCTCTATCTGGTGAAGAGCTTTGAAATTTTTATCTAGTGTGGATTGCATGATCTTGTGGTACTGGCATAAAGTAATAATCAGTAATATTTCTGAGCCTGTGTTGATGTCTGTTTGACATAAATAAAAAACAAATATTCTCAGTACAAGTTATAAATATTACTTTGATCTGGGAGTAAACAATGTTGATGTTGACTAGACAACGGGGTTATGTTTTTAGATAAAATGTGTATGAAATATGTCTTGGGGAATATCTTGAAGTCATGTAACCCTGGATTGTTTTTGTTTTTTGAAAAAGAGGGTAACGGACTTATGTTGCTTTTGGTGAAATGCACATATTAAGATTGTTGTTACAAGTCTTAGTAATATTATTTTCATTGTTCTTAGTCTTAAAATATTTATTATTATTTTGTGAAGGCGTCAGTCATCCAGGATAGTGTAGTGGGGCAGTTATACATGTACTTCGACTTACTTAGTGCATTTAAGGTAAGAAATACCTGAAAGAAAAAAATGAAAATATATTTTATATCCTCTATCCAAAGTTAATGCTGACAGGAACAGACCTCTATACAGGGATGAGATTTTCCTAGATCCCTTCAGGCTTGCCATATTATCTGCCTTTTTCACTACATGACAGTCTCATCCTTTTGTCTTTATCATCTAGTGCGCTGAGCTTTCTCATTTCTTATATCACAAACACATTGTACATGTTTTATATAATGAAATGTTTGCCCTCTATCAATTTTTTTTTTCAATGGTGAAAATTAAAAATGCATGTAATCCAGTCCCCTGTTACTTCAGGACCTGTGTGAACGGCATGAGAAAGGAGTTCTACAGGACCACCAGAGGGCGATACAGAAGATGGGCCAGTACAAGAAGAAGAAGATGACGGCCACGGTGCAAGGCTCAGAGGTAATATTAGGCCACCTTGAGAAGCTTGTAAAGTTCTGAAATCTATTTTATGACTTATACACGTACTTAACAGTGGCACAGTTTATGATTATCCAAAAATGTTTGAAACAAAAATGAATGTTTATAGTCAAAGTATAATTGGGTCAAAGAAAGCAACATAAAATTAAATTATAATTTTAAAAGGGGTTTTGTAAAAAAAAAAGTATATATATATATATATATATATATATATATATATATATATATATATATATATATATATATATATATATATATATATGTACATGATTTTACTTAATGAAAATAATAAAAAGTAATGCTACTAAGTAATTTTAATTTTTGACAGGGGAATCCCCCATCAGCAATTTTCAAAAATCTTTTCATTATTATGATTATGAAAATCTTGTGAAATATATCATTTCAGTCAGAAGCAGTAGAACAGTTAGAAGCCAGGATATTAGAGGTAAGAAAACACCATGTAAAAGCTTACTGGAACATTAAAAGAAGTCAAGTAAACAAAATGTGATCTGAAAGGTGTCATGCTATATTAAAGAACATGTATGATAGTAATATCACACCATTCAAACACCCAGAGTCTCATAGTTCTGAAGGAGAAATTCTCTATAAATAAGCATGTTCACCCTAACAGCAATTCAGTCTTCATTATCACTCTGTAACTGGGAAAGATAATATATTGTGTGGTGTGGTCATTGACCTGTTCACTTGATCTTCCAGCAAGAGAGTCAAATCAGCAATATGGAAAACCGCAATTACTTCTCCCTCCATTGTCTCCAGATGGAGGTCCAGTTAATCCATGCCAACATGGAGACTTTGTTTATAGTCATAGAAGCCATGATTAACAATGAGGCTAAAGGGTGCTCAGAGGTGAGTGGGAGAAAGGGAGCTCTTTAAGTTGTGGATTCTGTGAGAGAAAAGTATATATTCTGTCTGATTTGATATACAGGGACTTTGAATCTTTGAATTTATCTAAAACTATTGATAAATGTTTTTATAGAGAAAAAGTATTTGTAAAAATTATTGAACATGTTTGATAAACTCATTGTTGTTTAAGCTGAATGCAAAACATTTGCCATATTGCCACAATATTTCCCTTTGTCTGACTACTACTCTAGATAATTTTAAGGAAAATCAGTCGTAACATACTGATAATGTTATTGCTTTTAATTCCATCAGATGTAACATAGTTTGTGCTGTTTTTATTACAGATTGCTGCAGTATGGGAACAAATTAAACCAATAGTGAACAATATATTTCCTAAAGAACATAATGTAAATGGGGGTGTGCCCACGTCACCCATCGGTTCACCGAACTCTGGCAGAGCAGGAATAACAGTACAGTAGTGATTGACAGATCTAAGGAGGGCAGGTTGGAACTCCCACCCACCGTAGTACAAATCCTAGTACTAATTGTGCTGACTCATCACCATGGCAGAGGTGTGAAAGACTTCTTGGAAGGTTAAACTGTCACCAGTTGGATTCAAACTTCAGCTCTTTTAAAATATGTGGTTTAATTTTTTTATTGGACTTTTTTCATGCATGTGCAAGTCACCATCCTGCAGTTATAGTTGCCTGATATCCTTGTAAGCTAAATACGTCTTGAAAGAAAATCCATTGTATAAGTATTCCTTGCTTACAAGTCAGATGCCCTAGACTGTGGATACAAGAGACTCCTGAACAGATGTTGCATTATGGCAAACCATAAAACAGTTTTATTGAGATTTGCCTAGAAATGATCTGTAAAAATTAAATGGCAGGATATACCTTTGCTCCTGTTTCATACAAATTTATCCTAGAGATAAGATGGCAAACTCTTCAGCATAAGATAATTCAAAACTCTAGTCTTAGAATCAGTTAAGTATACAAAACAGTTTTGTGTCATTTATTTTGATGGATAGACACTGTGTGTCTTGTTTGTATATTGACTGATTCATTAGGAATATTACAGTCAATAATACTGAGATAAGACATTAAATACACCTTGTTTTAACATCTGTGGCAGAATATAAAATATTATTCTTGATGTGCATGCAATGACGGTCCACCATAGAGGTTACTACAGGGCACCTGCCAGGCCTCTTCTGATTATATATAGAAGTTAAGGGGATCGGAGGGAAGGGCTGTAACACGAGGACCTGAGCTGTGCTGGCCTTTGGCAAATTCTGACTTGATTTTCACATGTTTAACAGGGAACCTCCTATAATTTAATGATAAATATCTATGCAATATGTGTCTGTTGATAATTCATATTTATTTTGTTGTAAAAAACACCGAATTTATCTAATGGGTCATAAAATCATTGTAATATTATACGATTTTTGGTATTGTGTAATTATTGTTTCTTTCTTGGTCAGTTTTTGTGTACTTTCTTACTGACTACAGACACTCAAAAACTGAAAATGGTGATTCCAAATATGTTTTTCTGTTAAAGTAAAACTTTCATTCTAAGTTTGAAGTTTGATACGTTTCAAATTTTACTGCTCCTTTGAATTGGGTAGAATCTTTGATCCTCTCCATGTTTAGATGTTATTAGCTAGAAGTCTGTGTATCCGTGCTTTAATTGAACTAGTATAATTCCCAGCTCAGTCAGTCCATATAATATCATATCATTCAGAATATGGAAGGCAATATTAATATTCTTTATATGTATCACAGTATCTGCTATATTTATTGGATACAAGGTTGTGCAGCATGATGGGATACTTACAGAGAGAACCACGGGTCTCGTGTATCAAAGTGCTTTGGTCTCAGTACGCAATCCACACAGTTTCATTTCTGTAGATAAAGTTTGATCCATGCTAACTCATTGTCTACAATTTATATAGGTTGATAAGAATCCACCATTTTGAAGTTTCTAGTAGTAATAGTAGGCAGAGGCACTTAAGACCTCTCAGAACAGCTTAAATTATCTAATTGAAGATAAGATTACATTGAATGCAATGACGCTTACATATTGGCAGCTAAATTTAAGCCCAAATTCTTGCTAATGTGGTATTTTATCATTATAAGGTAATTTCTTGGAAAAAGATAATTTGGGGGGGGGGGGGGGGGGGTTAGCATTAAAAACAATAAGAAATGTATTATTGTACATATCAACACCAATAGTTATGTCATTGGTAAGGTCTGTACTGGAAGTGTTTTGGTTATTTTAAGGCAAGGTTGTGTCTTACCATTGTATAGTGTCTGATTTTATTGAAAATGAGAAGAAATCTCGTATAACCTAGAGATGAACATAGTGTTAAGTTTGTAGTTAATTGTCAATGCCCGTTCATAAGTTTGATTATTTCACACACATCTGCTAATTCGTTTTCCTTGTGTAAAGGTTAGACTTCAGAAATTAAGGCAAAAATATACAAGGCCAGTCCAAATTAATAAATTGGTTATCTTGCAGATACTCTCTGAAAAAAAAGAGTTTCCAGGTGCTTTGAATTTTCTCACTTGAAAAACCAATGCCAAATGCATATTTCCATTTGAAAAAAAAAAAGATTTCTTACAAATAATGGTTGGTCATTTTCATTAACCAATTGACAAGTGACAATTTTGTCTAGGCTAACTAGCATTTTTATGGGAGTAATTTCTTCATTTATTTTCCTTTTTTAGGAGAGGTACTTCAGAGAACATTACAATAGTTTTTTTTTTTTTTTTGTAAAATTATTCATAGCCATTGTTCATCCACCAAGTTGAGATTAACCAATTTACTTCCATGTGGAAAATAACATGGCATTCAGGTACAACCAACACTGGGCTTGTTGGAAAATTAGTCATTATCTCAGTGATCCAGTTTTGTCTCGACTGTAATATTTATTCCATGCTGCTTAGTTACATACATTGTATATGCTGCATGCTAAAAATAGAGCATTTTTTCTGATTCTAAACTAAATTTTTGAACAATTTTAAAGTAAAGAATACATGTCCTTCAGGAGGCCAGGTTATTAGTTTTCACTGTAAAAGCTACCAATGGAATGCTTTAAAACTGATTTTACAGTGTCATTGTAAAAGATAAGATCTAGGTTCATTTGTATGTTATAATTAATTCTATCCAAAAGAACATTTTCACAGTTTGTATAAAATGTGAATAGGAATACTGGTATGTAATTTTTTTTTAAACACACAAATCCATTTTTGCTCACCATAACTTGAAATGTACTGTCAAGTTATTTAGAGCTATAATTTTGTTATGTTGATTATGACTTTTATATCAATTTAATTCAACTACATGTACAGTAGATATGGCTTTGGTTAAAACTTTGTTCAATTCAGCATCTTTTAACTGTAGATGGTGTCCTTTGTAGTCTAACAAGTGCAGAGTTCATAATTCTATAAAATCTTGGATGTTTTAGTTAAATAGATGATGAATACTGTTGTTGATAAGTGATTATCAACCATATGTTAATGTTTATGGTTATATATTTTGATAATTACATGGAAAATATTAAAATTGAAAATAAAGAATGTCTAAATGGTCATCACATGACTATTTCTTGTGCTGCATTATCAAAGGCATACTATCTGCACTAGAAAACGCCCCAAAGTCATATTTGATTGAAGACATATATATGGTGGGCAAAGGTTCAGAAGTCAATTATTTAACTAATGTTATAAAATGTCGAGTCCAAGTACAGGGACAGGTGCTGCAATGATTCGTGAGTGGGAGAATATTTGTTTTTGTTTGTTTTTTCATGAAACATCACGGATGCAGTAAAATACCACAAAGCATATACAGTGCTTTAACGTTTTGATATATCAACCCAAAAATGCAAAACAATAATTATCACAATAATAATTATAATACCCCTCCCCCCAGTAAAGATTAATTAAAACAAACGATAATTGTTTAGATCTACAGTAATTCACAAACAAAAATGAAAAATTACGGATCAGTTTAGTAGTACTACTCGAAAGTTACATGATTTAGCCACTCACTTAAGCGAGTTCAAGGCATCTTATCCCCCGCCCCCTTTTCAAGGCATAATAACCTCGTTATCTCATTCTGAAGCTGCTTTGAAATATTAGTTGAAGTCGAGGCTGTGGGTGGAGTTGGTCGTGTTAAGGTCAAGGTTGCTATACCTGCAGCGTGAAGTTGACACCTGTCACTGAAACTGCTGCTGCTGCTGTAGTCATGGCAAATACAGTGTTCCAGTATTCCTCGGATGAATTTACGCTATGTACTCCGCCATGGGATGATAAGAAGCAATGGAATTTGAGTAAGGTAAAAAATTAAGAATCATGAACGCTAGTTCATACACACTTGTACATGTACTGTAGATAACCGATGTTAGATTACACTCAAGTTCACAATTATACTTACACATTGTCCTAAACTCGGTCACCGCCACATACGATCATGGTTGTGTTTACATTCGTTAATGGGTTATTGACGTACGTGTGTACTGTTGATATTATGTAACCATGGTTTTATGATTGGGAGAAGAAGTGGCAAAGAACACAAATTTCGGTGGGTAGCTAGTATCTTTGATGCATACCAGTACATGTATAATATCATACTTCCATTGCCATATTTGGAATCTATATATAGTACTACAGACTGTATATAATTAACTATGACAATTAAATATACTAGTACACAGTATTATTGTACAATGTCAGAAATATTCATACTATTATCTAACCAATGACTCAACTGGCCAAAGATATTACAGATAGAGACAGTGGACGATTTAATACTATATCATTTTTCAGTTTGATCAAATGCTCCAGAGTAAGTGGACCCAAGCTATGGAAGGGGGACATTTCCGTTACACTTTGGACCATGTTGTCACCCGTGTCATTCCAGGCAAGAGACATTATGTGTCCCAGGTAATTTTCTTTACATCGGCCATTTATCCTCTATAACAACCCCTTCCCCCCCCCCCCAGCCAGCACCCACCACCACCACCCTACCTGCCCCACCAACTGCCTAAAAAAGCTTTTCATCACTTTATGTCAGTTGAAGATATTTTTAATTTCCTGGGGAGCAGATGGTATCGTTATCATTCAGTTGACATATCTTCACCTATCTGCAGATCTCACTTTCTTCTTACACACATGAAAGCATATCACCTCCTAGCTGCTGGAGGAGGCTTGTTGTTCTGTTAATCTGATTGCATTCAATGGAATCCCTGCAGAGTTGGATCTACCTGGTACAATAGTTTTATTGGGAATGTACCCTTAAAGAGTTGACTGTACCTATGTGAACCTATGTGAACCTATGGGCGTATTCCCAGACATTTAGATCGCTCTATCCCCGTGGGGAGTCTCACTAGATTACTGTCAGATAATCCGGCTTAAATGTCTGTCCCGCCTACTACAAGCTGTAAGGGGGTAATTAACTTTAGTGCCCACTCGGCTGACAGCTATTTAGCGTGAACCCCCAGGGAGTTAGGTCGATCTAGTTTGGATCGATCTAATCTCTGGGAATGGGGTCTATGTGAACCTATGTCATTACTGTTTCAGTTGAATGTGAAGCGTGGAGTTGAGAGAAGAAAACCACAGGTGATTGACAGCGTTAATCAGCAGTTTAATCCTGATATCTTCAACTTCACCAAGATCAAACCATCAGAGGTCCTCTTTGAGTTGTGTCCCACACACTGGGGTCAGAGGTCAAACGGGGTCAAGGACGTGATAAGTAATGGGGCCAAAGAGGATGAGGAGGTAAGTTTTCATGTACAGACACTGTTTAAATACCTTATGGATATACCTGTTATCTGATCTTGTCTGTCCATGTTTCATTTCATTTATTTATTACCTTGGTCTCTTGAGGACCATCAGTCTAGTACTGGTACAAATGTTACAACGACTATAGTTACAACAACTGTAGGGTTATTACAAAGAATAATTATAATAGTAATAATCGCAATCATAATCATCATAACAATAATAATAGTACCTGTAGTAAATTAAATACATGAGTACTTAAATAAATAAAATACTTAAATAAATCAAATTGCTGTTGCTATTCGCCAAACTATTTCACTTTATAACTAGCATACTAGTAGTACCTTTTTTTTGTTTCATTTTAGTCTCCCTATTGGGTAATGATATAATATCTTTTAATTGTCTTATATTTTAGCAAGCGAGAGAACGTAACCTTGTGATCATCAACATCAGCCCATTAGAATTTTGTAATGCGCTTTTGGTGCCAGATGTTGATGGCTGCACAAATCAGGTAAGTTATATAATGTCTGTTGGGAAAGATTTACAATGTGTAAGCTAGATTTATAATTTAGATAACAGCTTTAGAGGAGCTGAGACTGTTAATGCAAAACCAATACCACAAGATTAGAAGACCACAGTGATGAAAGACATTTAAAGGCCAGATTTATGTTGTTATTTCTGTTCTCTTCTGCAGGTTATCACACCAAAGTTGTTACGACTTGCAATAGAAATGATGCTGCTGAGTTCTCACCCGTAAGTTTTGCCATAATTCATTTGAATTATTGATAGTAAAACCAAATAAGTCACTTTTTATGTATCGTAAAAAGTTTCATAGTATCATTTTATTTATTTGGTAGAAAACATATTTTCCACTTTTAATAAATAAATAAATAAAACTTAAATATGACTTAATATCCAATTTTTATAAATAATTAAATAAAACTTAAATATGACTTAATATGAATATTTTATCATTTCAGTGGTTTCAGAATTGGGTTTAACAGTCTGTGTGCGTATGCCTCAGTAAATCACCAGCATGTGCATGCATACTACTGTAACTACGAGTTCTATATAGAGCACGCTGTGAGTACACCACCACCATATTAATTATACAGGTAGTAGGGAGCTTAGCAATTTCTGGGAATATCTGATACACAGTCTTAAAAGAAAATGAGCTGAGGTGGATAAGGAGCTTGACAACATATTGTCCTTTAAAAGGGCCAAATGACTGTATTTTGGGGGAGGACTTTTTCTGCTGGATGTATGTTTAGGGTCAAAACCAGTAGCTAGGTGACAAATGCCTTTATAGTGTTGTGTTAAATTTTGTCCATAGTGCCATGCACTGTACGTGTTAGTGCTAGAATGACCCTTTGAATTATTGTCCTGCTATCTTTTCCAGAAAGTAAAAGAAGTGCATGATGGGATGTATGAGCTAGTTGACACTCCTGCTAGAGGCTTTGCTTTTCAGCTAGATGAGCTTCCTATGGAGACTTTGATAAGGTATCTTGAAAAGGAAAATAAATAAGAAAGACAAGCATAAAGATTATGATACATGTACTGTAGTAGGTGTATATGTAGGTGTATACAGGTACTTCATGTAAAACTAAAGTTCTTTATTAACATTGAATTGTGAGACATCTCAGACAAGATATGAATTTGTTAAAGGTCCTCTTAATGACCATAGCTGACAGCCAAAAGAAAATAAGGTCAATTCAGGAATGAATATGTACATCTGTGTACAAAGTGAACAGTGAACACACTTTTAGTCCTAAATACTTGCAACAGGAGAGAAGTGAAATATTAGAGACAATTAATTTTACAATAGTCTTTTTTTTGTTGGCGAATGTACATCTTGGACAAAATGTATTAAAGTATTCTTTTTATTGTTTTGATCAGTTTAGAAAGAAAATGTTTGAGAAAACATGACATTTCTTCCTTTCCTTTCAGGAGAATATATGAAATAACAGAATATTTCCAAAGACAGAATATTGCCCATAATCTAATGTTGGTGAGAGGACCAAGATTTGGGGAGGACAGGACCAGTAAAAACAGAACCATCCGGTTAAACCTATGGCCAAGGAGACCAGTTTATGGTATAAAACACCTTTACAGTCTTTATTTTTGATGAACATATTTAACTCCAATGTTTTTTTTTTCAAGTTTGATTGTAAAAAATTTAATTCTTGTTCAATATAATATTTATGCCTTTTCAAAGTCAGGAATCTAGATTTGAATTTTTAATTTTATTTTTAGATGTTTAGTATTTATGATAATTTCAGCTCATCTTGTATACGAGGGCATCTTCAGTCGTGCTGCCACTGATGAGCTAGGTATACATGTGTAGGGGCTCTGTGGTGTTGGTGTGTAAAGAGAGAGAAGTGGTGGAAGTGCTAAATAGTTGTTAATTGTTTCTGGACCAAGTTTTATTTTCCCTCTCATTCTTTAGTTGAAGCTGGTTTACTGAAATTACTTTAAATAGAATCACTAGTGAAAACAGTGTGAATCAGTTCAAAAAGAAAGGGAGAAAATGTATTAATTTGAAAAGCTGGCATAAACACTTGCAGTTTTTCTTATTTTCGTTAGACTGGGTATTTTCTATTTCCTTTAAAAGGAAAAAATGCTGGTAACCATGGAGACAGCTTATAGTATTTTGATTAGATTATAAAAATTGTTGTTATGGATAGCAATTTTGCTTACATGTTACATGTATGTTAGAACACACGCACGCTAACTTCAGGATTTATCTGAATCAATCTATTCTATCTTTTTGGGGGATTTGGTGGCATTTTTTTCTTTATATTGTACTAAGCAATATATGGTGTACATTTTGTTTTTTTACAGTTTTATTTTTCAGGAACTAGTTCATAGTAATGTTAGGTATCCCAACCATCTTTGTGTACGATATTTCCATATTAAAATACTAAGCTGTCTGTCTTCAAGGTCACTTTGGAAACTACGTAATTCACCCATTTTAGCCATAAAACTGAAACACATGGAAATCATGACTTTTTTGGGGAATATGATTTGGAATATCTAAATATGTAAACAAATATCTATCTGTATTTTGAGTTGATTGTCAGTTTGTATTTTTGCAGAAAACAGTTTTTACTGTTGTTTATATGGTCATGTGACATTGGACTGATGTCTTGCTAAGCTTCAGGATTCTCTCCGTTTATAATTAAGGTATTGTTCAGTCACAGAGCTGAACTAATATGGAATATGGATGCAAAAATTTTGTCTTTTAAGACAATAAAATACATCAAAAGAGTTCCAAATCACCTCAGCTAGTAATACTTGTGGGTACTTCATTTTCTAGGTGCCAAAAATGAAGACATATTCAATATAGCTGTTGCAGAGCTTGGTGGACACCTGCCAATTAAAGGTAACTGATTGTTCCCGTATTTCTGCCGAGTTTTTCATTTACATTATTATATGATTATGTCAGCTTTGGAAGGATAACATTTTTAATGTTTTTATTACATTACAAAGATCTGATATCACAGGCTATAGATGCTTGCTTATGAGTGATGTTCAAAAACCATTGAAAACTTTCTGGTTTTCACTTTGAAACACTTAAACTGCTGAGAAGTATTGAAAGTAAATTGATCTAAAAAGGAATTCCAGGTTTTCACTGCCATTTCTAAAATGGAGGCACTGTTAAACCAAAGGAGTGGAAATTGTTATAGTTCACTTATCCCCCTTGATACCGTGAGTACAGTACCCTCTACCAGGGTGACAGGTTGATTTTTTACAAGATATTCACAGATAATGTCTCTGGCTAAATGTGGTCAATCTTTTAACTGTGGATGGTGGAAAATGTGCCTGTAATATCTGCCGCCCTGGTAGAAGGTATGAGTGCAGAGTGATTGAGATATTTTCATGGCCTTTGATAGACAATGATGCGTGTTAGCTTCAGTGTTGATTTTATTTTTATTTTAATAAAACACATTTATAGAAGTGGTTCCAAAAGCAGTTTTTTCCTTGTGCAGGACAAGTGATCTTGGATTAAGATACTTTCAGTTGATGGTAAATTATATTTTTTGTCAAAATTGATTATTTTAGACAGTAATTTTCCTCATTTCAGTGACAAAAGGATTTGAAAATATAACTGAAGAGGAAATAGATGGCAACCTGCAGGAGGCCTCTCTGTCACAGGAACAGTTTGAAGAGATCAAATGTGCTCTTATCAATCTAGAAACACAACAAACCTGAATATTTAAGCCAAAAATAACATAACTATATACATTATAAATATTTTTTTCCAAAAGATTTATGTATATGTTTTTATTTATTATTAATATATAACCCTTTTATTTTCTTAAATACGGGCAGTAATCTCATGTTCCATTTTACTTATTTAATCTAAATAGATATATAAGTTACTAGTCATGAGTTACTGTCTTAACTTTGGGTATTAAATTGTTAATGGGTGTCAGTGCAGATCAGGGTGATAGTAGTATGTGTTATACTGTACCAGTATATAATATTAATGTTATCAGGGAAAGATGTGATCTATACTAAAGACTAAAGCTTTAAGGATATCAGTGACTGTGAACTAAGCCCATAGTTTTGGGTAATGTACCTGTGATATTGATGTAGAGCAACAAAACTAGAGATTTGAAGGACCAATCCTCCTTTTAGAGGATTTCTGCCTTTCTGTAATTTAGAAAATTAGAGTGATGCTGATTTTGTAGAAAAAAGTTCAGACAATTTGTTCAGAGGCATTTTCCTCCTTATTTAGCATTCCAAGATCTACACTTGATCAGTCTAAATGTTCTTTCTTTAACAAGACCATTTAAAAACTGTTTACTAATAATGGAATAAAGTGCTACTGTAGTAACCATGAAAATTTTGGCTTGGTGTGAGTGTTTGAAGAACACTAGTATAAGCCAGTATTATAAGTATTGCTCTGTTGTTGATTACAGAAACGATCAACGTGCAATCAAGACAATAATTATCAGCATTTACTCCCGACATAGTCTAATTTAAACAATTTATGTTACTATAGCCTGGGAATCTTGGTCACTGCTCCTTTATATAAACAACCCTTCCCCCCCTTTTTTCTTGAAAAAAAAAAAAAGGAGTAAAATTAGTTTTCTCATGCATGTATGTAGGATATGCCATGGTGTTTAAGGGAAATAACCTCAATTTTTTTCTGACCACTTGATAATCAAGTCAGAGAATAAAACTACCAATTATAATATTTATTTACACTTTTTGAGTTCAACAATTTTTTCAAGCTGTTCAGTTTGACTGCACAGTAAATATGACTTGTATTCTTAAAGCAACACTAACTCTGAAATAGTTTGAAATAAAAACTAGACTAACAGAAAGCTTTGTTTACATACATTAAACACTTTCAAATCTTATTTGTTTAAAATTCAAAATGAATGTAATGTTCTTAAAATATGCAACAAGGTAATGAAGAGTTATTATCTGATAGTTTTTTCTCTAAATAAATGCATTGTGATTATTGAAAAGAAAATTAGTGTTCTTTGGAATATTTTTGCAACTGTTATGACGAAGAAAAGTTTTCAAAAAGTGATTGAAAGTGATCTTTTTCAAAGATTCTGGATTACGTTTAAATTACAGATGTAAATGAGATTACATCCAGTGTGGAAGTCCAACAATTTTGCTTAGAAAAGAGGCTTTCATTTGCAGTGGAACTGGGGAGGTCCCTCCACACGCTGCCGCTTCTTCTTTTGAAGTTCTGTGAAAAATTCTCTTATGTCTTCTTCACGCACCACCTGAAATAGCAAATCAATTTACATGACATCTTTAAAAGATGATGAATATCAAGAAATTACCTGAAAGGAAAAGATGATGTGCATCAAGGAATTGCATGATCCAGGAAATAATGTGAAGTTCAAGTCATATGACAGGCAAAGAATTAATGGAATCAATGGAAAATTTCTTACAAATACAGGATAAGTAAAAGAGGATCTAGAAATCCATATCTTTAAACAGAATAAGTGCAGTTAAAAAATAAACCTCATTAAGACCCACTTCAGTGCTGCCTTATGGTCAAGCAGGAATTCAGCCATATCATATTTTCTTACCTTTCCATTATCTGCAAATTTCTTTAAGTAATCTGTCAGCTCTTCCTTCATGTCATTGTATCCTAGAAAATAAAATATTATAAACCTTATGTATCTATAATCATTTATGAAAATGATCATCACTGTGTCCCACTATTTATGATCATATGGACAAATTCCTGCAAATCTTCATCTTTAATAAATTACCATACTGAAGTTGTAAAACAAAACAAAGAAACTAATACCCCTCCCTTCCCCCCTCTTTTCCACCAGTTCAGTTACCTCTTAGGACCTCCACTTGCTGTATTCTACCCATACTGGACAGTACATTCAAGCCACGGTCATACTGGGACTGCCCGGGCTCCTTCCCGCGCCCCCTTTCTTCATATGCATGTACAGTGTCTCCTTCATCTGGGAGAAATGGCACTTGTTTTTCTTCATACAGTTTCTGAAAGTAATAACATAAATGGTCTCAGATCATAGAAAATCTTTATCCTAAGTGACAATTTAACTGCAACATAGAACTTTTTATTGTCTTTAATTAAAAAGTGTACCAAAGTATATTTTACAGCTGATTTTCAGTTTAAGACAGAAAGCTCATATTACGTTAAATAGGTTCTGAAATTCTACACAAATACAAAAAAAAAAAAAAACTTATTTTTACAACTCATCTGAAAATGTCCAACCTTATGTTTATGTTAATAATAAGTGGACTAATACAAGCAGAATTTGGGACAAAATTAGTGAAAATTTCAAGTTTTCAGAAATGAGCCCGGGCCTTCGGAAAAATCTGATAACATTTATTGTGGTGATAAATCTAGAAACTTTCTCAGGAACTACCGGAAGTCTTACAACTGAATTAAAAATCACGAAAACCCAAAATTCCATAGAAAAAGCTCAAGCCCTAGCCTTCCATTCTGAATATAAATCATAATGGATCCAAACTGGTGAAACAACCACTGTTGCCGACTCCTTTGTTTTTGGCTGTTTTAGCAGTAGAAATGTGATAAGTGAGAACTCACTGTGCAATCATTACAAAGACACAGTTTGGCCCTCCAACCATTTGGCCAGTAGGTGGCACCAGAGGCAGTGCGCGGAATGTCTCTTTGTTGCAACTCCTGGAGTTTACACGAAGGAGAAGAAGACTCAGACAGGTTGGCTGAACACTGCCCATTTTTCTGTTCAATTTTAGCTTCGACATTTGTGTGTTCTTGTGAAAGTGGCTTTAAAGCTTCAACTGTCTGGTTTTCTGACTCTTTTCTCTCAGCTGTCTGACTTCCTGACCCTGTGGCATCAGTTTTATGGTATTCTGATTTGGTTCCAATAGTGTCAGCATCTGTGCTGCCAGCTTGAACTGTCTCCACATCTACACCAACTGATGTGTCAGCTTTCTCAATCTGTGTGACTTCTGAAATAGTGAAAAATATTTAAATGAACAACTAAATATGCACAAATACTGTTATCAATATTAATCCATGATCAGCCATGTTCTACTGAAGTTAAATACCTACTCTTCATCAAATCTTCATATCGAATTGTTCAGAAATGAAACTACAATATTTGCTTTCCCAAGCACTGGTGCCTTACCAACACTATGTACAGCATATGGCCACAAGAAGTCACATTTCTTCATACATCCATCACAAATCATCTCCATGAAATCCTGATTCTGAGGCAGAGAAGTGCCCAGGTGCTGAAAATGGAGACAACATACTTAAATGAGAGAGGCTGGAGGGGGGCAGGAGCATATTATGTGAGGTATACAAGGTGACCTTGTGATTTTAAAGATAACCAAGATGTAACCAGTCTGAATAAATGAATGACCACAAATTTGTGTGATTTGATAAGTACTTGACAGGTTATTCCACTACAGAGAAAATGAGAATGACTTACTCTTCCATGATACCAGTCCTCACAGATGACACACTGAATCATCTCATCCTCTACCTGAAACACAGCAAGAAACCTTATTTCTGTTAATATAATACAGCACAAGCTGAACTGATATTATAGATGTTAAGACTTCAAGATATAAGTTCAATACGCAGTGTTATAATGCCCTTTACCACTATCAGTTATCATAAGTACAAATTTTCTTATAAATCATTCTTCTCATACCAAGCAGAGTACACAAAACACTGGTCAATTACTGTAATGAGTTACAAGTATGTCTTATGATATTTCCCAAAATAATACCCTGAATCCTGATAAGCACACATGGGATAAATACGTAAAACGCCTGTTATACTGTTTTATGTCATAAGAGTGATGACTACAATAATCTTGTTACTGGAAGTAAAACTCCCCAAAATGCGAGGAAGTAAAACTCCCAAAATATATGTGAGGATATATAAGATTTAATGAAATTGTTCTCAAATATATGTTAGCCTAGCAATTCTCAAAGTGGACCAGTCCAGTTCAGTGTACCACTAAAAGTGCCTCAAACACTCACACTGTCCTCTACATCAGGGTAAGGTCTGGAACAGGTACAGTACACCCCTCTGAAGTTCTGGTTGTACGTATTGCCTGGGTTGACACTCTCTTTGTTCTGTAACATATCCAGAATACATAGTCAAACAGACATTGAGAATTCTGAATAAGATTAAAACCCATGAAGTCAAATACACTGCAGTCTACTTCAATTTTCACTCAGCATATGAAAGAGTTCACGTGCTGATCATCTAATAGTGTAATATCACATAAATTAAGATTCATCTTTTTATCTTTAAGTTACGATAACTCAGCGTACTTACTGGAAATAGTTTGCACGTAAAATCTGGAAACCTACTGTTGCCACAATCACATCTAAAATTCCTACAAACATATAAAATACAAAAATAGTGATTAAATTTATAAAATTCCATCTTATTCAAAAAAATTATTTGATCAAACCAAGAACAATATGCAATATTATTATCTAAGACATAAGACATCAATGAAACTGCCACTTAATCAAGCTTAAAATAGCACAAGGAGAATAATCTAAATAAATACAGACAAATGTATATCATAAAAGAATTATGTTTTTCAACCAAAACAGTATAGAATAAAGAGCACATGTGTATCATGTGTATACCTTTTAGTGTACAACTCCCACAAGCTATGTCCCTCATGGCACTCGTAGCTACAGGCTAGACATATCCCTGCAGGCTGGCTGCCCTCAGGTACTGCAGGAGTACAGGTGGCACAGGCATACACTGCCTGCCGCGGAACATAGCCCTAGAGGAACACACACAGGTATATTTTCTGAGAATTCAATAGTACTTATGGTCAAACAGGTTTGACCTCAATAGCTCATATCATCAACATCATTGCACTATAAGCTGCCAATGTTTCAAAATTGATTATCAGTGCTTCAGACACTTGACTATAATTGCTTGGCTTGGCTGACTTCAAAAGTTAGTCAGATAAAACTGAAAAAAATGCAGTGTGTGGACTGTTGAATAAGTGTATTATATGTGGGATAACATATAACAACAGTGCAAACACACAAGTATTTGTAACTATTCAAACCCCTCTTCTCCCGGGGGCGTCTCGATAGTCCGAGGGTTCATTTGTCCGAAAAGTGGTAACACTTTCATCGATTTTTTAATCAAGGGTTCATTGGTCCGAAGGTTCTATAGTGAATATTTGGACCCATGAAGCTTCGGACTGTTGCTACGGCTCCCTTCTCCCTACACACACACTTTCAGTTTCATCCCTACTCAATATTTCTGAATTGTCACTTTAACAATACAAAACGTAGACAAATATTGTTTACAACCTTCTTCGCGTAGCACACAACAGTTTGTACATTATTCAAACAAATGACATGGAGTCATTAGCAGGGTGAGAGGAGACGCTGTGCTCATGTTTTCCAGCAAAATTCCGATTCCGATCACATTGGCAAGAGCAACCGGCGAGTGTGTTTGCAATGCTCACCGATTCATATGTGCAGTTTTTATCATCGCTATCTCCCAGCACTGCATTTGCATCTGCTTCTAGTTGCTCTTCCTCTTCTAAAACGTCAACCATTGACACCCCCGTGTCTTCTTCATTTGGCGGGCAATTCCCATTTCCATCTGCCATCTTTCGGAGCAGGGGTTATTTAGAAATGAAAGAATGGGAAAAATGCCTTTACTGTGTCATTGTGTAAGCGACAGCAAACTAGCTTCAAGTAACGACCAATAAATGACAAAATATATGGAAAATTGCATTTTTGCTTCGAAAGATTTGTTCGTCTTTTGTTCAATGAACCCGTGCCAATATTGTCAATGGGTCTTTCTCAGTGTGTACATTAGCTACAATCATTTCCGGATGTTGCCATATTTTGCGCAGGCGCAGGTCATGGTGGTGGATATTTTGTACACAAAATCTGACAACGAGAGATGCGATGCAAAAGGAAGAGCCTTGATATTAATGTTCTTGGTAGCTTATTAGACAGCTGTTTATAGAAACATATTTTTGAAGGTAAGGTGGTTTTGACAACAAATACTTTCCTTTAAATACTGAAATTTGGCATATGAAATGTTAAATAAAATATACAATTTCAATTTTCAACCTCTGACTTGGTGTTCAAATTAAACTTGAAGTGTCTTTGCCTTGACTAGCAGTTACATGTGTTCTAAAAAAAGAAAAAAAAAGCCCTTTACGTTTCCTCATTATTTGATTTTAAACGTCTGTTGAACATTTTGATATATTTCGGTGTGCTAAACCAATGAAAAAATAATGAATTATGTAGATAAGCACAATGTAGATGATTTTGACAACACAGTGAAAACATCCGCACATGTAATTTTAACTCCTTTCAATTTCCCATTGCTTCTCATGTTGCCAGGTCTTAGATAAGCTAAGGGATTACCACGTAATGCTAAAGCTTGGTTCTGCTGATATGTCAGAGTTTATGGATGTTTCATCATTCATGCCTAAAGTAACTGACTGCCTACTTTGATTATGAATTTATGACTTGCACTTAAACTATTACTTTAACTAAAATATTGAAAAGTCACTGTTGCAAGAGCATCCTTTTCAAATTAAATAGAAAAAAAAACTTAGTATTTTTTATTTGTTTCAGAATTAAGTACTGTTAAGAGAAAAGAACATCCACCATAGCGCAGGATATCCTAAAAAATAAACAGCTGACGAATGCAGCATTTAGGAGAGTGTCTGATACCTTGCAGGTCTTTAAAGCAGCCCTGAATGGTAAGGAGCTTACTAGTAGTCATTATTTTGTAGTACCCAAATGTAAAGCAGTCATGAAGTTTATTAGTAAGTAATTTTGCTTTGGCATTCTCATTTACACAGTGTTGAGAGATTGATACAGGAATGCAAGTGGCTGAATATTAATTAACACAGACTCTCGTGCAGTGCTATTAGTCACCAATTTAGCTAAATGCTAAATGATTGTGCAATGTATTCAGTCTCATATTCAGTTTTCTCTATGTTACTTAAAGTCTAGACCAATTTTTTTTTGTGCCAGAGTTTGCAGTTTTTATGCACAGATTCAAAATGTGTCTGGTTTAGTCTTGTGGGCCTGGGGGTCATGAGTTGGCATATTGTAATTTCATACTGCTAAAGATTTGCTGAAAAATTGATTTAAGTAAAAAAAAAAAACTACGATTTCTGTATCATAGAAAGGGTGATATCATGGTTTCTTCTCCTTATCCAAGCAAGCTAAACATCTTTTTAATCAGCAGCTGAATAACCTTTAATCACCTGCCCCCCCCCCCAAAAAAAAATAAATAAATAAAAATAAGTAAATAAATAAACCCTTGCTCACAGAATATATTAAAAGATGCTAGTTATGTGAACATTTTGTTGTTGTTGTGTGGCCAGTGCTATTTCTAGTGTTGGCTTCTTTCCTGGAAGTTAACCTGAAAGGGTAAATTTTTTCCTCATCCATGTCTAATCTGATTTGGACCCCCGGAAAGATAAAATGCTGCAGTAAGCCAGCAGTGCAAGAACCCTGACCTTCAAGTATTCCCATGGTCCATGCTATTATCATCAGTCAGGATTACCTGTTCTTTGAACATGAACATTGCTAACTAGTATGGATTATTGATCATGTCCCAATGGGAATATTGGATCAAGCACGTGTTATGTAGCAGTTTGTATTCATTAGTAGCTCTTAAAGTAACTATTGATCATGCAGATAAATCCATGTGACTTATATAAAATATGGATTTCCCTTCCTATATTTTGTCTTACCTGCAAAAATGGGGGGAGGGGCATTTGTTTCACCTGTAATTCAATGATTACCATATGATAATTTAATATTTATTGTTCAAAAAACATATCATATTAAATGTGCAATTATTCGTTTTCCCTTGTTTGCAGTTATTTGTGTAAATGTTTGCACTTGAACTTAGTCATTCTTGGAATCTCCATGTTTCAGCGTGCTGTAAGAACTTAGTCATTCTTGGGGTCTCCATGTTTCAGCATGTTGTAATGATATTAATAATACATCTTATCATCAAACAAATGAAATCAGATATTTTCCTGATAAACCTTTCATTAGAGAAAATACCACATTTTTATAGCTGTGTAAAACCAATGGCTTGACTCCAGTTGCATGTAATATTTATAGGTTTTATGGCCAAGATCATGTCTCCAACCTTTTGATGCTTTTTTTAAGCACCATTGAAGTCATATAGGAAGTATTTAGCACTTACTGAGTGATATCTGCACACACACAGTATGGCAGTTAAATGAGAGATCATTTTAGGTATGTTGTAATTCAATAATTTTTTTTCACTCTTTCAGATAAATGAACTTTCACATCATTCTGGATGGGATATGTGTATTAGGAGTTGTTGCCCATTATGCCACATAGTTTTGTATGTGGAAGTTCATCCAAAGTTGCTGACAGTGTAATTGCCAAGCAGCTGTTGCAGGAACAGGTGGGTGATTCACAGTAGAACACAGGACATACAAGAGGGTGACTTCCAAGCCGTGGTTCTTATCGGGTTAGGTCGGCCCATCTCAGCATGTTGTGTGGTTATGATAAGACTTAGGCCCCATTCAGAATAAGGGACTAGCTAGTTCGAGGGTCAAATATGGCTGACCCATTTGAATACTTCCCCACAGGATATCTGTATAGTGTCTATTAGTGGATTAGATGGCAAGCTTTGTAGTGTGCTTTCATGTTTGACCTCCGGACTAGTTGCTCCCCTATTCTGAATGGGACCTTAGAAGAGGTTGACCCTCCTCCCCCCCCCCCCAAGTCGTGTTTCTTACCAGGTTGTGTTGGCCCATCTGAGCATGTTGTGTGTTTATGATCAGATCACCATAGGTATAGACATTCTATTACTACATGACTTCTGTTAGTTATAGTGAGGAGGGTGGGATAACAGAGGGACAAGAAAAACATTATGTTTACTTATTCTTACAGCCCACTGAGTTGGCTCAGACCCAGCTAATGGAAACACGACTTTAAGCTGTGTTCACAACCTGTCTAAAATGGGACAGGAAATAGTGTCAATGTTAGATCTGCTGTGAACACGAGCATATAGTGAGTTTCCTGCCCTCTACATGGGGAAAATGGGATAAGGGATAAACTGTAGGTTCTCTTGATTTTAAAGCGAAAGGTATTGATATGGACTTGGCACAAAGTGGCGTAATGTAAAGATTTCTAACTGATGTGGACAATAATTGTTATCATTGCTCTATGGGAGGGGGGGGGGGGAATGAAGCTATTTTTCTACATAATTTAACCCATGTTCTATACACACCCCATCTTTGCTCTGCTCTCCCTGTGTTAATCTAGTTCATATCCAGGATATCAATGATCTAAATATAGACCTTTAAGCTGTTCTTAATACTGTTTTCAAAACAAAGCATTAAGATAGTGTTCTGATATATGGTATTTGTTGTCTGAAGTCTTTTATATAGTAGCATGCGTGGGTGCGTGCGTGTGTGTGTGTGCGTGTGTTGTTATGAAGATAAACCCCAGTGTTACACCAGGTGCTCTGCCTTCTATTACCTGACATATGAAAACAACATGTCACTTTTTTTTTTTTGCACTGATCAACAATTTATGTCTATTTTGCTAAATTATTTATATTATTTTAGATTGTCATGCAATTTTCCCTTTGATTCATTACAACATGCAGATAGAGTAAAAGTGATTCATTTAAAAATTGATAATGTTATTGGCCTTATCATTTAGACTTAGTGTTGTAAACTGCTGAACTTTGAGTGATTACGTTCTGACAAAAAATGTCTCGAGTCTTGCTGTTAACATAAAAATTATCTTCAGTATAGCTTTTTTAATCTTTCTCCCTTTAGTAAATAACAGAAAGGTAAGTGAGTATGATACTAATGTGTGCTGATCCTAACTTTACCTTTATCACAAATACCTCTAATCCTCACATCTGCAATATTTATTATTTCAGTTTATACTAATAGCAACTGTTTGGCAGAGCCTCTCAAGCAGTGATTTGCTCCACGCATTCTTTTTAAAAATCTCTTAAATGATTTAGTTGGATTTGAAGCTGAAACCTACAGACTTTTTTTTGATAAATTGTTATGTAGCTAAGTTAACAAGTCAAACTGTAAATTTATATGTAAGTATTGAAATGGAAAAAATAATTCATAACAGGAAAACCCAGTGGGGCACTTAATGAGATAGGAGATGTACGTACTATTAATTCAACATATGTTTCCTACCTTAACCTTAAGGTATTAATATTTGATAAAATATGTTGACATAGTTCATTAGTTGGTGTTGTACAGAGAGATTGTTTCCATGGCAACTGTTGCTATGCACAGGTGAAGGGAAATCAGTGGAAAGTGATAGAGGGCAAATTTTGTCTTGTATGATTCAGCGTTGTGCATTTAGCCACAAGTCTTAGGAGATATACATGCATATAGAAATCTTGATGCAGACATCTCAAATCCAGATATATCTATATTATATATATATATATAATATCTATATTATACATCTCAAATCCAGATATATATATATATATATATATATATATATATATATATATATATATATATATATATATATATATATATTAGAATAATTCCAGTCAAAGAATCTATAATATTTGGGTTTGAAATGTGATAACTTGATAACTGCACTTAGAGCTATAGCTTAATGTGGAGCTTTGATAGCTGTAGAAAATAATAAGGTATGAAATGTAAAATCATGTGAATGTTCCAATTGTGGAGTTGATACTGTTTTAGCAGCTGTGTGATTATATATATGCAAAGAAAAAAGTGGGGTATGAAAGGAAGATATGAAAGGAAGATATATATCTATAATATCGTTATCAGTGTAGTGAATACCTTGTTTAAATAATAGAATATTTGAAATTTTCATATAAAAATAGCTTATGAATTAATCACAATATATATATATAATATCGTTATCAGTGTAGTGAATACCTTGTTTAAATAATAGAATATTTGAAATTTTCATATAAAAATAGCTTATGAATTAATCACAATATATATATATATATATATATATATATATATATATATATATTGAAAATTGTAAGAGCTTCTGTCAGTTGGTATCTTTGAGACCATTCCCACATATATTTAGATCGATCTATCCCCCTGGGAAGTCTCTCTAGATTGATGTCAGATTAACCAGCTTGAATGTCTGTCCCGCCTACTAAAAGCTGTAAGGGGGTAATTAACTTTTGTGCACGCTCGGCTCCAGGAAGCTGACAGCAGTTTAGCGTGAACCCCCAGGGAGTTAGGTCGATCCAGATGGATCGATCTAAATCTGTGGGAACCCAGTCTTTGATGTATCGTGTTTTCCAGTGATTCTTGTCACTCATGACATCACATTTTAACCAACAAAGTGTGTGACGTCTTAACCAGGACCTTGTATGACTGTGAACATCTTGTTCATCACAGGCGGCAGATGGATCATCTGATTATTAATTGAAAAAAAAAGGATAGAAAGTCTTTGTGAAAACACTAAAATGACACGCAACAGCTGCAAGAGAGGAAAAAGTTAAAAGTTTCTTCCTGATTAATTTAATTAAAAAATTGCAGAAAGACATAATTGAGCTAGGAATTGAAGTTCTTTATGGGAGTTAATGAGAATCTGGAAAATCTACCTTGAACAGAAATGGAATTACCAGAGAGAAGAATTTTCAAGTGTGTACCAGTAGTGTATACTTTATAGCACTAGTATAATCTGCAGTAGCAGTTATTCTTCTGTATAACACTTATCATGCCTCAGTGGTTTGGAATGACTACTAGTAGACAGGTGAGATAAAAAAAAACTTTTTTATTGTGACACGGAATGCGATTTTCAGTGCAGCAACTGGTCACTTTTAAACCTCACATTTAAGTTTGGTGTTTGTCTTCTAGAAGGGAGTGCCAGTATAATTTGTTTATATTTGTATGTGTCTTTAAAGCTAATATATATAAGCAAATATGTGTAAGTTAACAAACTTTGGAGAAGAAGAACACATGTAGTGATGGTGATCTATTTGAGCTGGACCAGCAGCTGTTCCTATTCCAAAGATACAGGGCACTCCACTGAGTCCAGAGACCCCAGCAATGCCTGTGATTTAATTATACATATGGTGGTATGGATTACCTATGTCCATCTGCTTTATAACCAGAGACCCAGCAATGCCTCTGATTTTAATTAATAATGGACAACATGTAATATTAATTGCCTGTGTCCATCTACTTTATAACCAGCACTGCCAGATTTTAGCCACTTTGTTCCCAAACATCATCCTGTAAAAGTGAGCTCTGATAATGACTGTGTAGATATAGGTGGCTTTCAGATTCACACATCTTACTAGCTAGGCAATCCAACTCTGCGGGAGATCCTCACCAAAGTGCAATCAATTGAGTCAGCTGAATTGTCTGACATGCCTCCTTAAGCAGCTAGGAGGTAATTAACTATGGTGTCACTGTGCTGATTAAGCTGATTCCACTGATTGTACTTGAGCCAGTATCTCCCACAGAGTTGGACTGACCTAGCTAGTACAATATGTGAATCTGAATGCACCCTTAGATACACAGTTATATTCATGGTTCTTTATCATGGAGTACTATGATATAGGGAGTGAGATTAATACCCTGAGTATAACTTGCTACTAGAAACTGGCAGGCTGATAATGGAAGGAGTATACTGGGCAAGGGAAATGCATTGTCAGTGCTATGAAACTAAGGGTGAAAGGTGGCTGGTTGATAGGTTGCACTGATTGCATAGATTTTGCTAGTAAAAGTTTGAAATTTTTTAAAGCCCACAATTTGATCTTGTGAATTTTTACATTGATTTTGGAAATAATAGGTATTTTACTACAGAAATATTGGTAATATTGGTATTTTTATATGTATTGTTATGTTAGATCATATACTTTGTATACGTTATTATTATTATTATTATTATTATTATTATTATTATTAATATTATTATTATTATTATAAATAGTAAAATGTTAATCAGTTAAGAAGTGTGTAGAATGTTGGTAATATGAGTATGTTCCCAGTGCTATGGTACAGATTCACTGAACATAACTTACTAGTATGCAATCGCATATCAAATGGAATGCAAATCTGGTTGGTGTTTTCTGTGATTTTTTTTTTCTTTTTTTGTGAGACACAACTATCCTTTTCTGTGGGTTCTTTGGTTGACTTAATTGCACTAGAGAGGAATTTGATTTTGTTTTCATACCATTTCATAGTTATGTGCACTACATTAATACAAGGTCCCACTAGAAGATTTAGTGGTGTACAACATTACATCATGATAGGCTTGGCCCTTAGTTCTAATTATGGATATTTGCCTTAGTTCTACATCTAATATGGATATCTGGCTTAGTTCTACACCAAATTATGGATATAAGGCTTAGTTTAACACTTAATTATGGATATTCGGCTTCGCTCTTCACCTAATTATGAAAATTCAGCCTAGTTCTACACCTAAACATTGAAATTTGGCTTCACTATAACTCATCCACACCTAGATCTCTTAAATTGCAGCTGCATCTGCTTTATTTCTTACATTTGATGCTTGTCCTAACTTCTCACTCTTAATTGAGCTGATAGAGATGAGTAACTCACTTAAAAACTTAATTCCTTTTTTGCCATAATTGATTCAATTTACTTATGGCCACAGAAGTTTTATTTCTTCTTTACATATTTGGTTCCAGCATTTAACTATCTCTTTCTGTATGCTTTTTATCATTATGAAAACTTTTTGAAAGTAACATTTTCATTTTATTTTAAAATCAGACTTCTGTGGTATGATACATTATTGAAATCCCAATAATACTTTATCATTGAAATGTTTAAAAACTACATTTGAAAATAATTTCAAATAAAAAAAAATTCATTCCGTTTTTAGAGCCTCAGGATAACGTCTAGTCAACAAAGTCGTATGGACAAAATGAAGAAGTTGTTGAGCTCTCCATTAAGTAAAAGAAAAACAACCAATGGCTCTCCCAACAAGACATTTGGACTTCCTTTGGAAGATCTAATCACCAAAGACCAGGAAATTCCCTTTGTTGTGCGCAAAATATGTGAATTTATCCGTATGCATGGTAAGTCCACAGTATTTATTAATTACATTGATCCCTATGCTTGTTGGACAAACTGTTACATGAAGTAGATGCTGCTAAAGTTTAAAAGCTAATTGTGCTGCAGTGTGAACAGATGTTATTTGTGATATTTACAAGATCGGCAGAGTTTGCATGTTATACAGAGAAGAAATGTTACATGTATTGTATGTCAGTGATTTTTTTTTTTCATGTAATATACATACTATTTGCACGTTATCATTACTGCATACACATAGACAAACTGTGTGCCAACAATACAAAATATATATGGGTGATTTGGTTTTCACAAAATTTTTTTTTTTTTTTTTTTTTTTTTTTTTTTTTTTTTTGACACTTGACAAACATATAACATATAAAATGAATCAGTTCTCTAAATGTAGCCCAGTGCTCTTATATTAAACAACCACAAGTCAAATTCTGATATATACAATAATTAAGATTGGGATTTGTTTTGTGACATCAATAAAACCAAACATCCAATGTGATAATTCTCTTCTGTCTCCCACCAGGTATTGGTCACGAGGGTATTTTTCGTGTCAACGGCAACGCCAGAGTGGTGGAAAAGTTGAAGGCGTCTTTTGACAAGACAGGGGACGCGGATCTCCTCGAGGCGGGAGATGTCATGGCGGTGGCGGGGCTGCTAAAGTTGTTCCTTCGGGAACTTCCTGATGCTGTCATCCCAGAGAGCGAAACACAGAAATATGTGGAGATACATGAAGGTATTGTACAGTACTAATTTCAGTGAAGTATTTTGTAAGTGTTATGGTGTTTCCTAGAACTCCGTGTGTCACAAATGGTTCATATTGCCATAAATCAAACAATTGAGTGATTAAATGCCCATTGTTTTTGTTAATAACTTTCTACAGCATTAGATTGATTATTTTTCAGTAAGTTTTAAAGGTGATCATTGATCAGTGATAAATAATGTTGTAGGGATGATACTACAGATACCAACATTTTTATCAAATTTTTTTATGTATATGCAAATCATTCTTGCACTAACAGAACTCTTCTCTCTTCCTCAGAATATGGTGACAAAGATGAACTGTGCACACAGAAGTTAAAGCAGCAGATCAAGAGTTTACCCAAGATCAACTACGCCCAGCTGAAGTACCTGTGTCGATTCCTGGTCCACGTGGCTCAGAGAGAGAACAGCAATAAAATGAGTGCCATGGCCCTGGGGATTGTGTTTGGCCCTAATTTATTCAGGTAGGTACAGTAAGGGTCTGGTTCCACATCTATTACAGGATACAGAAATGCTGGTGGTTATACCAGTATATTGGAAACAAGAGGAGGCATATCATTCAGTGTAGCTGATTGCACTCAGCGAGAGTCCCCACAGACTTGGTTTTGTTCCAGGTAGACCGATGTTGTCAATGGAAATGGGGTCATAGAAGTGGCCTAGTTCAGAAATCAGTTTAACAGCATCAGGTGGTTTAGCTAGAAGAGCAGATAGATAAAGATGGGATCACAATGTTTGAAACCATTGAATATCTATAGATGATCTGATTCTTGGGTTATGGTATTGGTTCTGTATGGGACTGGTCCACACCTACACCAGACAAATACATCAGTCTACTTCTGGCTTAAATGTTATATTGCTTCAAGAAAATGGAACATTTATTTATTTATTTATTTATTTATTTATTTATTTATTTATTTAATGTCATACCTATTTAGTTTAGATTGAATTGACTAGAATATTTTATTCATGAAAACAGAAATATACTGAAGTTGGTCTAGTGGTTGTTTCAACTGTATTACTATTCATATGAACATGTGAAGAGATACATAAATGTGACAGCTAGTATATAAGATTGATTATTTGTTCTATGTACAGTAGTTATAAGACGGGTACCAGGATAATGGGGGTGGGTTGTTTAACTAGAGTTATTTATTACCTGGATGCCAGAGATAGAGTTCTAAATTGAATACTTCCAGCTAATTCCATCTATATGCCGTGTATACTTAAACCAAGCTGTCGGTCCAATATTCAGTTACTGTGAAAAGGTTTATTGATGCAAAAGGTTGCTTTGCTGTTCATATTACATGCTTGTAAAATTAGCTGGAGTTGTATAGACAAAATTCTTCACAATACAATATATGGCTGTTCATTACAGTCAGGTATTACTAAAGTCATTGCTACTTGTACTCACCTTTGTCGTTTGAGAGATGTTTTTTTAAAAAGGTGAAAGATTTTCTGTAGAGAAGACTGGTCTTATCAACAAACATGTGCAAGCCATTGCTCTTGACCAGTCATAAGTTGTCAGCCTCTTGACATAAAGTCCTTTTAGTTATCTGAAAATATATCTGTGAACTTCATTGTTGATATTTATATTTTTTATCAGCAAAATTAACTGTGCACTTGTTAAAATAATCTGGAAGAGGGTTCACAAGGTGAGGTTCACCAGTTAGTAAGTCAAGGCCAGAGATAAGAGAGATTCATACCTATACATCATTTAGGTGCAGTGACGGTATAGCAGGACTGAAAGAGCAAGGGGTGACCAACCAGATTGTCTGCAAGTTTATTAATCAGTTTGAACAGCTTTTTGATGACAAGATTTACTCCTCAGAGGAAGAACTGAAACCAGCTCCAGCTAAGTCACAGAGAATACAGGTGAGATCTGATGGACAGATATGACTTACACTGGAGTATTGTATGTGTGTGCATGCTTGCATGCACGGGCATACGTGCCTGAGGACAGCAATAGAACTGCATAGTAGATTGTGATACTTTAAAAATGCAATATTCAGTTTTCATATATTTACAAGTGAAAAGAAAATGATCAGCCAATAGTTTCTGTGACTTATTCAAAGTTGAATGACTAATGTCAGATATTTCATGATATGTATATTTATAAATTTGTTGTACTGCTGCAGGTTCAGGAAGCCAAGCAGCCCAGAACCCCGCCTCCACGTCCTCCACCACCAAAATTTGAGATAGACAGCAGCAATGTCAGCGCCCCAGTACCCTCTCCTAGACGGGTAAGTTACAAGATAACAGCAATATTCAACCAGATTTGCAGTGGACAGGCTAGGTTATAGTAGGCAGTCTTTAAAATAATGTTGTTTAAATCAATATGTCACACTTGTCACTTATTTTCAGAAACACTAACTGAAAAAGTAAATTAATAGACTTTAATATATAAAAATGAGATATCACCTGAAAGATTGGCTTGACTTGCAGTCGAAGATGAAGCAAGATGGCGGTGCGTACCTGGACAGCGAGGAAGTAGAGGGCAGTGATGAATCACGCGGAACAACTCCTCGCAGTCGTAGCATGCTCAGCCCGCGCTTTAGTGATGATGAGTTTTTGGATCCAAGAGCAACGTCTCCTTTTCACTTAGAAAGGTTTGTAACAGTACCTAAATTTACTAGTTGTTAAAGCAATAATAACTCTTCGTTTTGGCCAAAAAATGAATTTTCCTGGAGTAAACAACAATTTTCCCATACTTACCAATGGTTAATGAATCCATTTTTACATTCAAAGTTAGTCCCTGGTTTTTTTCTAAAAAGTTTGGTTTTTTGTTAAAATCTCTTAAGAGATTTTAACAGAGTATAGATATCAATGGAGGTCACGTGGTCTAAAGACAAGTTCAAATATCAGAATAAAAGCTATAACTGCTGTTTTTGTGGTAAAACAGAATATATTATATTTCTATGAGTTATTCACAAGGTTTTTATTGTGAAATATAGGTCTCATATGAAGAGTTATTATCCCTTTAAGATGATGTACATTTTGTTTCATGTGTAATATGTTAAAATGGTTACATATTGTGCACATACTACCAGTAATAATTTATAACAAGACAGCACCCTTACTGGTGTGTGTTCGATGGGACATATGACTGATTAGAATATTATGTTACTGAACAGACATGCTGAAACTGTCAGTCCCACCCGTCTTGGCCAAAATAATTTTCAAGGATCAGTTGAAAAATGTCTCTCGTCCATCCGAAGGACTTGCAGCAATTTTCAGAGGGAGCATTTCGAATTTACATTCAGTCCCAAAAAAGTCCTTTGGTCTGGCAAAAGTTTCATAACTGCAGGTTCGAATGCCCATGTGTATTAAGTTTTTAGCATGTCTGTGTGAATGAGTTAATATTGAAATGCAAAAAAAGTTAACTGTTTTGGATGATGTCAACTTGTCGTCATATAGAGAAGACCTGGAATGAGGAGGGACTTAGAACATTGTTCATGTGTACATAGTACATATCATATGGTGCCTTGATAGAAATACGCTTTTCCGTCAGATCCAAAGCTCTGCACATGCCAGTGGAGCACTACTAATGTTACTGCATTATCACCAACATAGTTCATATGTGACATGAAAACTATTATTAAGAAATGAGTATCACTCCAATTTGTATATCTTACCTGAGAATATCCTGAGAACATTCCCGCCCACTCCTGGTGCACCATTAATGACCATAAGAAGTGATTGATGAACCTATTAAGGTAATTGCAGTACATAGTCTAGAATTCTCAGTAAATCTATACTCTTTTAGTGAGTAAACCTATCTTCTTTCAGTGAGACAGGATCCACAATGGCTTCTCCTGTAATTGATGTGGTCGCCTCGGAGTAAGTGAATCTGCTTTGATTTTTAGCTCGCTTAATTTGTGTCAGTTATGTTAATTAGTCTTTAATCAGTGAGGGGTTAATAAGATTAACATAGGTTGTGGCTGGTGTTTAAGTTAAAAGGTTTCTTAAATAACATTAACTTTACTAAAGCTGGCTTAGCACTTGTAGGTACTGTATAAAAAAAATCAGTCTCAGTTATGTAAAATATAGACATAAATGAATTAAGCCGATGCAATATTTGAAGCATGATTTGATTACCCCTCCCCCCCTCTCTCTCTCTCTCTCTCTCTCATGCCTAACTGCTTCTATTATTTCCCCTTTACAGAGTGGTAAAGAATGTGATCAGTGAGGTGACCCAGGACTACCTGTTTGGCAGTGACATCAGCTCTGATGACGACAGTGACCACAAGCCTGTCAGTAAGTACAGTATTTATGTTATGTTATAGTAAATATCCTAAATCAGTGGGAAAAAGTTTTTCTATTGAGAACATTTTTGATTTAGACATACACTTTTAGAAAGCCATCTCATTTGCATGTGTGCGCGCGCACGCACGCACGCACAGAGAGAGAGAGAGAGAGAGAGAGAGAGAGAGAGAGAGAGAGATGAAGAACCAGGCAGCATTGATTGATAAACTATTAACATATATTAACATTACCATGACCTTTAATGAGTCCCCAGGTTGTCTTTAATAAGGCATCCTAATTATGGTGTACTTTAAGGTCTTAGAATACCGACCTGGACATGTGTGACATAATGGACATAGGTATGCCATGTTGTTGATGAAACCAGTCCTCTTCAGGCATGTTGTCAACTTGGACAGTATAAAAAGATCAAAGATCAAAACTGTGTCCACTTTATTCTTCCCAACAGCTGTGTGACTCACTCATTTCAGATTATTGTAACTTGGCAAACAAGTAAGGATAATAGCTTGCCTTGGGGGCTAGGCAGAGATAGAGATATGCCTCTTCCTTATTGTATGACCTGTGCTTCTTATTCTTCAGCTCCTACGCCAGCGCCTAGAAAGAAAAGGAAAGACAGAACGAAAGAGGCTCAGGTCCGAGAGGAATCGTCGTCTCCCAATAGATACATGTAAGTTGAGGTGGTGGTGTTTAAGATACAGGTGTCAAGCAGTGAATACTGAATAGACCCTTTTTGTCCCATGATACAGATAACTGACTTTGTGCAGATAAAATCATTAGATTTCTTGAAAGTGTATTATGACTCTTTACTGCAATGATTGAGACTTCATTAGTTGATTTGACATTTTTTACTAGAACTTTGGGTTTTGTATATTTTATTGCCCTGAAGGCCAGGGGTGGTGATATTTAGCTAATTTTTTCTGAACTGGAGATTTGTTTAGATTGTAGCAGTGTACAATTAATGACAATGCTTAAAGAATTATTAGAATGTAAATACATTTAGGAAAAGTCCAGAAGGTTGAAAATGAGAATAAAAAGAAATAAGAACTTTAGGGAGGGACTGATAAACTTCAAGACTGTCCTTCAGTTAGTAATTATGGAAAAGTTGGAAAATGCTGAAGAAAATAGAACGAGTGTTTGTTCTTTTTGCAGAGACCACGATGATGAAGAGGAGGAGGATGAGGATGATGAAGGATTGTTGTCACCACGATCTGGAGTCTCACTAGAGGGCGACACTAACGCCAAACCAAAGAGACACAGGTCTACCTCTGCCGCCACTGAAATGTTCCAAGAAGACGTAAGTATATATTTCTACTTATATATCTGTTATCTGAATTGTTAGACAAAATTATTGGGTTTTTCAGTTAGTAATTTTTTTAAATATTTTCTTTTTTGCCACCTGTTGCATTGTAATACTTGGGTACAAACTTGAAAACTGTGAAAGTATTTCAAGCCTTTTGTTTCAGTAATCGGCCATATTTCACATTTCTTGCCTTGCAAGAATTTGGTATATTATTTTATAATATTGTCTCCATTCCCAGGGGGTTGAGCATTCCCAAGGTTATCCCGGCAGACGGACAGGAAAGTCTGAGAGTATTACAATACCTTCTGACCTCAACGATCCTGTCGGCCACAGTGACAGTCCTCATGTACAACCAGTGCCCAAGCCACGAAGTCCTCGCAAGAATATAGACAGGTCAGGGACACCATCTTTGATATGTAGAACCTTCTCAGTATTACAGCTGCAGCTTTTAAATTTTTGTCTGCATGATAGTTTAAAGTATTACATGACAGTGACAGATGGGGATGTGAAGAAGTCATTTAAGTTAACATGATATTTTCTTACACTGCAGCTTGCATGTGGCACTTTCTCAATTCTGGCATGTAACAGTAGTGTGTAGTTAGGAATGTGGAACTAGCAGTTGTAAGCAATTGAAATCTGTTACCTTCATGTCACAATGTAGTAACAGGAGAAGAATTGAAAACAGAACAGGACAGTTTTATTTGTTTTGAACCTAAAATAAAGAAAATTACATGATTTACTATATCCTAAAAAAAAGATGCACAAAATGCAAATTTCTATAGCCTTTACAACAATAAAGTTAGATGAATTAATACTGGTGTTATAGGTGTCTAGGTTTAAATCTTCTGTGTGATACTACACACTCACAATGTTAAGTTTAAGATGATACAGTGATAGCAGTCATGTAGCAGGATTTAGATGTATTTTGAACAGTGTAGTTGCTGTCATAGTTATGTGTTGTAGGTTTCCAGCTGCTGCTATCACATACTAACTTTTCCATCTCAATATAGGTAACTGTGAACATGATATAAACACACTTATTTAGTCGACAACCTGGATCTTAGACAAATTACTACAAGGAAGAGGAACAAGCCTAGGTTGATAATTATTCATTGTCTGAATTCAGGGAAAATGGGGATATCTCTCTAAGTAGCAGAAATAAGAAACATTGCACTTGCTATAATTAAGGAAGCACATGTTGGAAATTCATCAAATTGTAGTTAGCTTTTGGGTTAAAAACAGTTCAGCTTTGTGTTTGTCAACTATGATAATTACTCTGTCTTTTCTATGGGCAAAAATTATCAAACTTACATAATTTTTTAGTCACAAAAATTATATTTCTAAATAGCATTTTACTGCACAGAATACAGCTGTATAGGGGCCTGCTTTAAAACTTCATTGCTAACACTCGATAGGAATATTCTAATTTTGACTTGAAAAGGACAGTATTCCCCCCCCCCCCAATTGAAAAGATTGAGTTAATACCGTACTTTGAGGATGTAAAACCCAGTTTCCCTTTTAACAGCCACTAGAAGAGAGTTTACTGCCCACGTAATGACATAGACTGAATGAAGCCTTATTCTGGTCTAAAGTTTTCTTCATTTCCACCTGTTGTGTGACTGCATGTTTATACGTATGTGTTTCTGAATTGATTAGTTGACTGTAAACCTGTCAGCCAAAGATAAAATTTGAAATGAACTAAAAACATTTTTTTCAATTTTGAGAAGCCATGATAAAGTTGAAAAAACACGAAGTGTTCCTGCTACACCTTAACCAAGTTTCCCTACTGTTATAACCACACATCTGTTAGAAGATTTTGTGTGGATAGTGCCAACTTTTATTGATAAAAAAACATCAACAACTAGAAAAACAATCCGAGAGCGCAGACCTCCGTGAAGGCAGCAGTTTTTTTATTATTATTGATTACTGATAGATTATTGATCCAGATCACCACCAAAAACTAATCATCTGTTCCTTGGCCCACTTCTGACAGTTCCTCAAAATTTCATCAAAATCGGTCCATAACTTTTTGAGTTATGTTGATGACAGACAGATAAACAAACAGGGGTGAAAACATAACCTCCTTGGCAGAGGTAATGATTGTAAATTAAAAAAAAAAACAGTTTAGATTTATGTGTATTAACAATTCTACAATTGGATTATCTTTTATCCTTTCTTCCATCAAAAAGGAAAATACCCCCCCCCCCTACACACACACACAGTATAACTATAAGACAATGGTAACATCTTAATGCAAGGTACATTCTCTGGCTGGCAGAAATAACTTCATGGTGAGACATTAAATACTTGAAAGGCAATTATACAGGTTTAGTTCAAGAACTAAGTGGTGATGTACAAAGAAGCATGATCTCCCTTAGGTGTCTTTGATCTATTAATAGCTATCTAGTATTATGAGTAATGTTCTATGTGTGTATATATAAGAGAACACACAAACCCAGGCAAGAAGGGTCCAGGAACCTCTCTCTACTGTCACAGAGGTTTCTCAGCTCTCTTGTCATTTGGTGGATTATTATGAACCTCCTCAGAGAAAAGGGTCACCACTTTTGACATTTTGTGGCTGAAATGATCATTGTGCTGAAAATGATCCATGTGATAATGTAATTAGGGCTGTGTGGGTAATGGGTTGTTTACTGCTTGTATTAAGAAGAATAATGTGGTATCTGAAGATGATTAATGGGAGGATCTAAAATAGAATGTGGTGTTAGCAGGTATTTTAAATGCTGTTGATTTATATTTTCGCAGGTCTCGGCAAAAAGACGGTTTCTCAACTGGAGAAGAAGGATACGGCACCCTGTCCAGTGAAGTATCGACGCTCAGTAATGTAAGTAACATAACAAGCTGCATATCTGCATCTTACTGTTAAGAAAGCAGCAGCTGCTTTATCAAGCTTACATTATTTTAACTGCCCAACAATAAATTGGGTGACATGTTTGGAAAGATGTAAGGCAAAAATTGCTTGTTATACCAAAAAATGGACACGGTAACATTAGGTGATAATTTATTTGAAAGATGATGTAGATATCACTGAGTGTTGAGTAGTACAGATGTTGCCAAGTCTTTGCCTTTTCTTGTTTTTAAAAAATTATTGAAAAAAGTATTTTCTGATATTACCTGAACGACTTTTCAGAACTTATTAATTAATTAGTCTTTTCAGGTTAACTGAAATATAATTACATTAAGCAACAAAAAAATTAACCAATGAATGATATTAATAATAACGAGTAATTTTGTTTGAATTAGAAATTTATTATTTATATTACATTAAAAGATAGGATGTCACTGGTAATTGAACCTTGTGATGACATAGTATATATAAAAAGCAGCACAGTGTGGTAGATAATTATGAATTGATATTCATGTGACGTAAGTGTGAAGATGTTGCAATACCATACAAGCACCTGTTATTTACATATGTGATCTATGGGACATATGCATTCCTAGCCTGCGCTATGCAACATAGTTGTCTTGTGACTCACTATTTCCTGCCTGTAGCTAACTTCTATAAATACAGAGTAGATCCATCCTACGAGCCAGCAGATCAAGGATGTTTTCCAATAGAAGCAGGCACATAAATTTCTCCATAAGTTAGAAATAGCCTATGACTCATTGGGTTTTGTGTAGGAAGTGTTCATGCAATCAGCTTATATCTTGCAGTAGGTAGGGGAATACCACATGTCAGGACATTTCACTGTACTATTTCTAGTATATTTTGCATTCTGATGCAATACAGATATTGCTGACACCATTAATATTACTGTAACTGCATTATAGAAATAACTGCAGATGAATAGATGTTCTTAGGTTTTTGGATTTATATTTCCAGTTTCGTAGAGCTCCAGGTCCTAAGAGGCGCACTCCAACAAGGAAGATGAGAACATTGCTGAGTCCGGATCACTTTGACGGCCATGTTGATTTAGAGAACATAGACGAGGAGAGAATGGAGTCTCCAGACTTTGACCTCCCAGCCCTTACCAGGAATAATACACAGATCGAGGAGGACGTTAATCATAATGAAAAGAAACCCACAATAAGGTTTCTTGATATTCACGATGAGCGTAACAAAATTCCGTCTCCAGAGAGGTCACCAAATAGCAGTAGAAAACAGCCGTTTGTTCCTCCACTTGACCTGTCCACACTGCATGAGAATGTGGAGGGTGGAGGTAAGTACTGCCAGCCAGACTTCATATTTCATACCAATAGATATATATAAAGCACTGGTGGAATAAAATACAATGTGTACTTAAGTGATGAGACTTTTTCATGGCAATTAATGGGTGGTTGCATTAATGAAAACACTAAAGCAATAAATGTCTTACGGTTGTCAGCTGTCTTTTGGAAATATGGTTTTTAGAAAATATTTTGTCAAAGATAGGTCATTTTACTTGAAGTTACAACAATTAATCAGTACTAATGAACCTTAGAATGTTTAAGTGTCTGTACTGAGCCCATGTTTGATCAGTGTTCTGTTCTCCTTACTGCCCCCATTATTTTCTGGTCAGTGTTCCGTTCTCCTCACAGCTCCCATACTTGTCTGGTCAGTGTTGTGTTCTCCTTACAGACCCCATACTTGTCTGATCAGTGTTCTATTCTCCTTACAGGCCCCATACTTGTCTGATCAGTGTTCTATTCTCCTTACAGGCCCCATACTTGCAGAGAAAGGCCCTTCCATATCATTCCAGAAAGCCAAGTCTATGAAAGAGGAGGAGCCACTGCTGTCACCGCGCTCACAAAAGATGAAGAAGAAATCCAGGTATTTTAGAAAGTCCTGGTTGTATATGAGTGTGTTCTTTAGCCATTTACTAGTGCATGATAACTCTAGCTCCCAGGGTTTGCCCAGAATTCCTGGATATAGTTACTTATATAAAGGCCACAGTTTGGATCTTTTTACATGCAGCATAATTTTCTTTTTCGAAGAGCACGGTGTGAAATATGTTTTTAGCATTTTACTTGTGTATCTGCATCTAGCAATGAATGTTATTTTTAACTGATCTGATCAAAACAAGCTTTATTTACAAAGATTTTACTCTGTGTCTTATGTTTACAAAAATAACCATGTAGGCACGTGCATGCACGCACACACACACACAAACACACACACACACACACACAGCTAAAACAATTGAAACATTCTTAAAACAAACTTGTTTAAAACTAAAAAGTGAAATATATTGAAAAATGATTAACTTTGTAGTTTTATGTGACTTAGAAACATTTGTTGAAATTAAAGCACAATTCTCCCAAAATTTTAAGAAATTTAAAGAGTGTGACTGGCGTTATCTAATATTCTTGCCGTAAACAAGGAGACAAAGCTCTGAACACCTCCTTGACTCACTCATGAGGTCTACGGCCTTTAAAATCTTCAGCAACCTAAGGTAACTTGTCATTTACTGTTCTAAAGCTGAAACTTTGTTGAAAAATTTTGCATAACACAACTTTATGATGTTTACATTAAGCAGTATGACTATGAAAGGTTTATTTTACAAATGTTGACAAATTTCTATTTATTTCTATTCTGTTTTACTTACTAGTTCTAAATCATTTTATTTTCAATATCAAAACTCTGTGACCATAGTTCTAATGCAATTATCTAATACTTTCATAAAAATTGTTATGTTAAATTTAATCCTTGTAATCTAAAATCACAAAAAGAAATTGTTAATCATATCAGTAGTTTCTAAATTAAATACCTCATTATATGATACAGGTTATTAAAAACATGGCAGACAGTAATCCATCATTTCTTATTTATAGATACATTTTATATGACGGGTGCTCTTCAAATAATACACAACCTGACACCATATTACCACATATACCAGGAACAAAATGTTTGCCCACACAACTTGTATTGTTTACACGTAACTAAATCAATGAGAGGATCAGAGAAAAAAGTCTAGCAGTGGAAAGAAATTGATATTAGTCCTAATTCTCATGCAATAGATACCACACAAATGCATGCTTTGCGTTTAATGCTTAGATATTTTGTTGCATATAACAACTTACTAACATGTGTTCAGTATTGAAGTTGATTGATTTTTCCATGATCACTGCAGTCTTCTTAGACACTGAAGGTATTGCGTCCATGCATAAGAAATTTCTGTTGTTTTCAGCAGATGTTTGCTATTTAAGTGGACTACATGTCACATTTGTCGTGAGTCAGAGTGTACTCACTTTTTTTTTTTTGTCTCAGCTGGAAGCAGCATTTAATGAAAGTTGTCTTTTGGGACAGCTATAGGTACATGGAGGCCATGAAGAGCAATACTTTCTGCTTGCTACAAACTCTTAGAAGACTGCACCTTCTTTGTTTGCTTTTATCAGACATGCTGAAAAAATTTTCAGATATTGGGACCAGCAGCTATGATAAATTAGCTGATAATAAAGGACTTTTTGCCAGACTGACTGTAAATTCAAAATGGCCGCTCTTAAAATTGTTGCTGACACAATTTTTTACCAGTCTTTGAAAATTAAGTCCATCATGGGCCCCATAACTTGAAAGCATCGTGCATTGTGACCGAGCACAAACGTCTCGATTCCATAACTCAATCGCCCATACTCAATCCATATGGGGGGGTATGGAATTGAGAGTGCTTTTGAGTTACAGGGCCATGGCCAACAGTTTCAGCATGTCTGTGGCATTGAGCCTTGCCTGTGATTTGATAATTAATGTGGTTTTGCAGTGGCTCTACTGACACGGATATGCCACCTTCTCCTCCAGTTCTTCAGACCAATGTCTTCAAAAGGTTGGTTTTATATGATAAAAACTTGAAAATTTAGTCAATCTTGAAAATTTTGTTGGAAGACAATTCTCTACCGACATAATTTTTTCAACTGGAAAATTTTGTCAAACTTGAAAATGGGCCTCTCAATAATTTTGAAAAGTTTGTCACCCACTATTGCCAATCAGATTGATGCATTTTAAAATATTAATTTTTAAGTGACGAAACTTTCAAGTTTTTACCATATCCACATACAGTCCCATTATGTTTATATAAATATAAATAGTTTTTGTTGCCCAATTTTCAGTTGTATGCCATCCAAACAGCCCTGTATAGTATATTATAGTGGTAGAAGTTATAGAAGTCAGCTAGTGGGTTTCTTGGTTTGAGATTGCTGTCTGCATCCATACAATAAAACTGATGTTAGCTCATGTNACAGCTAAAACAATTGAAACATTCTTAAAACAAACTTGTTTAAAACTAAAAAGTGAAATATATTGAAAAATGATTAACTTTGTAGTTTTATGTGACTTAGAAACATTTGTTGAAATTAAAGCACAATTCTCCCAAAATTTTAAGAAATTTAAAGAGTGTGACTGGCGTTATCTAATATTCTTGCCGTAAACAAGGAGACAAAGCTCTGAACACCTCCTTGACTCACTCATGAGGTCTACGGCCTTTAAAATCTTCAGCAACCTAAGGTAACTTGTCATTTACTGTTCTAAAGCTGAAACTTTGTTGAAAAATTTTGCATAACACAACTTTATGATGTTTACATTAAGCAGTATGACTATGAAAGGTTTATTTTACAAATGTTGACAAATTTCTATTTATTTCTATTCTGTTTTACTTACTAGTTCTAAATCATTTTATTTTCAATATCAAAACTCTGTGACCATAGTTCTAATGCAATTATCTAATACTTTCATAAAAATTGTTATGTTAAATTTAATCCTTGTAATCTAAAATCACAAAAAGAAATTGTTAATCATATCAGTAGTTTCTAAATTAAATACCTCATTATATGATACAGGTTATTAAAAACATGGCAGACAGTAATCCATCATTTCTTATTTATAGATACATTTTATATGACGGGTGCTCTTCAAATAATACACAACCTGACACCATATTACCACATATACCAGGAACAAAATGTTTGCCCACACAACTTGTATTGTTTACACGTAACTAAATCAATGAGAGGATCAGAGAAAAAAGTCTAGCAGTGGAAAGAAATTGATATTAGTCCTAATTCTCATGCAATAGATACCACACAAATGCATGCTTTGCGTTTAATGCTTAGATATTTTGTTGCATATAACAACTTACTAACATGTGTTCAGTATTGAAGTTGATTGATTTTTCCATGATCACTGCAGTCTTCTTAGACACTGAAGGTATTGCGTCCATGCATAAGAAATTTCTGTTGTTTTCAGCAGATGTTTGCTATTTAAGTGGACTACATGTCACGTTTGTCGTGAGTCAGAGTGTACTCACTTTTTTTTTTTTGTCTCAGCTGGAAGCAGCATTTAATGAAAGTTGTCTTTTGGGACAGCTATAGGTACATGGAGGCCATGAAGAGCAATACTTTCTGCTTGCTACAAACTCTTAGAAGACTGCACCTTCTTTGTTTGCTTTTATCAGACATGCTGAAAAAATTTTCAGATATTGGGACCAGCAGCTATGATAAATTAGCTGATAATAAAGGACTTTTTGCCAGACTGACTGTAAATTCAAAATGGCCGCTCTTAAAATTGTTGCTGACACAATTTTTTACCAGTCTTTGAAAATTAAGTCCATCATGGGCCCCATAACTTGAAAGCATCGTGCATTGTGACCGAGCACAAACGTCTCGATTCCATAACTCAATCGCCCATACTCAATCCATATGGGGGGGTATGGAATTGAGAGTGCTTTTGAGTTACAGGGCCATGGCCAACAGTTTCAGCATGTCTGTGGCATTGAGCCTTGCCTGTGATTTGATAATTAATGTGGTTTTGCAGTGGCTCTACTGACACGGATATGCCACCTTCTCCTCCAGTTCTTCAGACCAATGTCTTCAAAAGGTTGGTTTTATATGATAAAAACTTGAAAATTTAGTCAATCTTGAAAATTTTGTTGGAAGACAATTCTCTACCGACATAATTTTTTCAACTGGAAAATTTTGTCAAACTTGAAAATGGGCCTCTCAATAATTTTGAAAAGTTTGTCACCCACTATTGCCAATCAGATTGATGCATTTTAAAATATTAATTTTTAAGTGACGAAACTTTCAAGTTTTTACCATATCCACATACAGTCCCATTATGTTTATATAAATATAAATAGTTTTTGTTGCCCAATTTTCAGTTGTATGCCATCCAAACAGCCCTGTATAGTATATTATAGTGGTAGAAGTTATAGAAGTCAGCTAGTGGGTTTCTTGGTTTGAGATTGCTGTCTGCATCCATACAATAAAACTGATGTTAGCTCATGTTGATTTCACTTTTTTTTCACAGCATAAAGCACCTTACTGAAGATATATATTGTTAACAGAGCTTGGTTTAAGTATTTTCTATTTCTTGATAATTATCTTAAATCTTCTAAGAGAATTTCCAAGATGCATTTCTTCATCCTATCCTGTATCAGGTATTTTTTGATGAGATTTTGTATTTTTTAATGACTCAATATTTTGTTTTGGACGCTGTATAACGCCTTCTGACATGTGTTTATCTTTTGATGCAGTATGAGGTCAGATGATGAGCACACCCTGGCGGTGAAGAAACTCACTAAACATATTCAGTGTAAGTATACAACATGTAAGCCAACTAAGGGGGTAATGAGGACCACTTTGCTGGCTATAGGCTAGACCCATCGTGGGGTTCCGTAAAAAAAGGTTGTAGTATTTGTTAGTTTTTATTGTTACTGAATAAGAAAAAGAATGAATTTTGTTTTAAATGTTTCATTTCCTTTCTGTTGTTACATAAGAAATTGACTTTTTTATGAAATTTCCAAATAGCTTGATGTCTGATTTGTGGCAAATGATTGTGAAATTAGAACTATGTATGTTAAATTAAAACTATTTTGTAAATTTTTGATAATACAGCTATTGTTATTATTATTATTTTGTTTCCTTTTTTGCCATTACAGCATTGAAAAAGAAAATAAAACATTTTGAGGAAACCTTTGAAGCAGAGCATGGATACAGGGTAAGCTCAACTGTGCACGCATGTACACAGACGCACACATAGAGAGAGAGAGAATAAACAAAGGCCAAGGAATGGAAGTTCTTGATATTTAAGCGACACATAACATGTTCTAAATTTTCAGTCTAGGTGTATAGTATTAATATGGTGTTTACATTCAAATTGAAGGTAGAAATACAAGTTCATTCGAACAGTGTATCGGAGAGCAATACACTGGTGTCACTGTCCTCCTGGCATAATGATGACATTTCTTTCCGGTCACATTTCTTGTATTTAAAGAATAAATCTTCACATAAAAAAGTAGCATATTGAAGGGTATAAAGCAGTTTATCTTCTGTTCCAGCCGTCACAGCAAGACAAGTCGTCCAAGCCAGAGATCAAGAGATACATGAACGACCTGGCCAAGTCACGGAAGGAGCTTAAACGTAAGACAAGCATTTAAAAAACTTCTTATACTGAATTTATACTACAGGGAGCTGGCACTGTAGTGTTAGTTTTGTATTTTTAAAGACTCCTGTTTGTTTTATTATCATGATCGAAAATATTTTAATATTGCTTGTGTAATCCAGGCAGACTTTGAAATATCCAAAGTGGAACTCTGCTAACCTGAGTTAGGATTGTGGCATGTTTTATAGAAGCCATTTAAAGCATAGACACCACAATGCTCATAGGAAGGCCACGCTGCATGACACAGTTGTTTTATATTGTGTCCTGTCTGCGTGTTAACCAGCTTTATTTTCTGCAGTTCTAGTCAGTGAGGACCAAGCCAACCAGCATTCTAGTAAGCAGTTTACACATGTGGTCTTTATCTCTTCCACCTTACACATCAAAGATGTTAACTACATATTGGTGATAAGTCAACATGCTAGTTAACTGAACTGTGGAACTTAGGGCTGTTCAGAATGATTAAGGTTCCAGTACTCACTGCCCACAAACTCCACGAGGACTCGTGTAGAATACAATCAGATTAACAAACTAACATGGTCCTTTCCGAAAACGGAGAGGCTGGTGATTATGCGAATACATTGGAAACCAGAGGAGGTGTGCTAATCTGTTAATCTGATTGAATACAGAGAGAATCCATGTGGAGTCGGTTCACACTAGCTACTGCAACCTAACTCATTCTGAACAGTACCTTTGTCCTTTCCTTTCCATTTGGACCCAGTCACTCCTCTCCTGATACTCAGAGCTCTAGTTTGCAGTGTCAGTATGTTCTTTGTGTTTGTGAACCTTTCACAGCCACTGGCACAATTTTAAACTGGACTGGTCCACTATGAAAGACTGATAACTTGGTGGACTTGTGAATGGAGATAATAAAAAAAAACTGTAGCATACTTAAAAGTTAGTACCTGGCATTGTAATTAAACGTCAGGACCAGGCATGGTGAACCAGTCCAGTTAAGTGTTCAGCTCAACGTGGAGAGATCCTTGAAGACATGCTGTGGTCTGTTGTTACTTGTGTTCTTAACTATCACTTTCAGATGGAGTCATCTGGTTACAGAGTCACTGTTATATTTTATAATAATCGTACCCCAGTGTCTTTCACCTTTTTGTTCACTTGTGCATATTACAGTATGTACTTTTACTACAGGTGTGTCATTGGGTTGCCTCTGTGCTTTATAGTCATTTCGATTGAATTAATTTTGTATTGATTTTTAACAAGATATCCTTAATGGCTCGCCTGACTTAATCAAGTTTGCATTTCTCCTATTCCTTAGGGAGTGCACTCTCTGTGAAGAATGAATTTTATTGTCTCATTTTAGGATGTTTTCCCTTTTGGAACTTTTGCTTTGTTTTAGTAGAGATAAAAGATGTGAAGGCCAGATGGTTTCTGGCATGTTGCGAGAAGTCATTGTTGGCTTTATTAATAAAGCCATTGTTGATATTCTGATATTGTTATTATAAGTGACATTTTGCTTCATTCAACAGATTGATATTTTATCATTTTTGACTTTATTTATTTTATATATTTATTCATTGCTTTCAATTAATATTTTTCAAACTGCCAACATATAGTTACATATCTGATACATAATAATGGTAAGCATACTCACACATTGTCTCTATGCTCTGTTCTTTTAAACTGCTTGAAAGATTAGTAAAAAAAAAAAACTTCTCACTATCCACAGGCCTTAAAGAAGACAGTCATATGGACCAGCTGGCAGAGACGTACCCCGGTGGACGTCCAGACAGCGGACATCATCCCACTGGACACGATGCGGACGGACCGACCATGCAACAGACGCTGGACATATTGATGAAGAAACTGTCTGACAAGAGGAGGGATGCCAACAGACCCGAGGCTTTAGAGGTAAAACAACAATTTTTTTTGTNTTTTTAAAAACATGGCAGACAATAATCCATCATTTCTTATTTAACAATACACTATAATGACAGGTTTTCTTCAAATAATACACAACCTGACACCATATTAACACATATACCAGGAACAAAATGTTTGTCCACACAACTTGTATTGTTTACACGTATTTACTACGTCAATGAGAGGATCAGAGAAAAAATTAGTGCAGTGGAATGAAATTGATAACAGTCATAATTTTCATGCAAATAGATACCACACAAATGCATGCTTTGCATTTAATGCTTAGATATTTTGTTGCATATAACAACTTACTAACATGTGTTCAGTATTGAAGTTGATTGATTTTTCCATGATCACTGCAGTCTTCTTAGACACTGAAGGTATTGCATCCATGCATAAGAAATTCCTGTTGTTTTCAGCAGATGTTTGCTATTTAAGTGGACTACATGTCACATTTGTCGTGAGTCAGAGTGTACTCACTTTTTTTTGTCTCAGTTGGAAGCAGCATTTAATGAAAGTTGTCTTTTGGGACAGCTATAGGTACATGGAGGCCATGAAGAGCAATACTTTCTGCTTGCTACAAACTCTTAGAAGACTGCACCCTCTTTGTTTGCTTTTATCAGACATGCTGAAAAAATTTTCAGATATTCGGACCAGCAGCTATGACAAATTAGCTGAAATAAAAGACTTTTTGCCAGACTGCCTGTAAATTCAAAATGGCCGCTCTTAAAATTGTTGCCGACACAAATTTTTACCAGTCTTTGAAAATTAAGTCCATCATGGGCCCCATAACTTGAAAGCATCGCGCATTGTGACCGAGCACAACTGTCTCGATTCCATAACTCGATCGCCCATACTCAATCCACATGGGGGGTTATGGAATTGAGACTGCTTTTAAGTTACAGGGCCATAGCCAACAGTTTCAGCATGTCTGTGGCATTGAGCCTTGCCTGTGATTTGATAATTAATGTGGTTTTGCAGTGGCTCTACTGACACGGATATGCCACCTTCTCCTCCAGTTCTTCAGACCAATGTCTTCAAAAGGTTGGTTATATATGGTAAAAACTTGAAAATTTAGTCGGTCTTGAAAATTTTGTTGGAAGACCATTCTCTACCGACATAATTTTTTCAACTGGAAAATTTTGTCAAACTTGAAATTTGGCCTCTCAATAATTTTGAAAAGTTTGTCGCCTAATATTGCTGTGTCGGATTGATGCATTTTAAAATATTAATTTTAAGTGACAAAATTTTCAAGTTTTTACCCTATCCACATACAGTCCCATCATGTCTATATAAATATAAATAGTTTTTGTTGCCCAGTTTTCAGTTGTATGCCATCCAAACAGCCCTGTATAGTATATTATAGTGGTAGAAGTTATAGAAGTCAGCTAGTGGGTTTCTTGGTTTGAGATTGCTGTCTGCATCCATACAATAAAACTGATGTTAGCTCATGTTGATTTCAATTTTTTTTTTTCACAGCATAAATCACCTTACTGAAGATATATATTGTTAACAGAGCTTGGTTTAAGTATTTTCTATTTCTTGATAATTATCTTAAATCTTCTAAGAGAATTTTCAAGATGCATTTCTTCATCCTATCCTGTATCGGGTATTATTTGATGAGATTTTGTATTTTTTAATGACTCAATATTTTGTTTGGGACCCTGTATAACGCCTTCTGACACGTGTTTATCTTTTGATGCAGTATGAGGTCAGATGATGAGCACACCCTGGCGGTGAAGAAACTCACTAAACATATTCAGTGTAAGTATAAGCCAACTAAGGGGGTAATGAGGACCACTTTGCTGGCTATAGGCTAGACCCATCATGTGGGGTTCCTTAAAAAAAAGGTTGTAGTATTTGTTAGTTTTTATTGTTACTGAATAAGAAAAAGAATGAATTTTGTTTTAAATGTTTCATTTCCTTTCTGTTGTTACATAAGAAATCTACTTTTTTATGAAATTTTCAAATAGCTTGATGTCTGATTTGTTGCAAATGATTGTGAAATTAGAACTATGTACGTTAAATTAAAACTATTTCGTAAATTTTTGATAATACAGCTGTTGTTATTATTATTATTATTTTGTTTCCTTTTTTGCCATTACAGCATTGAAAAAGAAAATCAAACATTTTGAGGAAACCTTTGAAGCAGAGCATGGATACAGGGTAGGCTCAACTGTGCATGCACACAGAGAGAGAGAGAGAGAGAGAGAGAATAAGTAAAAAGGCCAAGGAATGGAAGTTCTTGATATTTAAGCGACACATAACATGTTCTAAATTTTCAGTCTATGTGTATAGTATTAATATGGTGTTTATATTCAAATTGAAGGTAGATATACAAGTTCATTTGAACAGTGTATCGGAGAGCAATACACTGTTGTCACTGTCTTCCTGGCCAGTCACATTCCTTGTATTTAAGGAATAAATCCTCACATTAAAAAGTAGCATATTGAAGGGTATAAAGCAGTTTATCTTCTGTTCCAGCCGTCTCAGCAGGACAAGTCGTCCAAGCCAGAGATCAAGAGATACATGAACGACCTGGCCAAGTCACGGAAGGAGCTTAAACGTAAGACCAGCATTAAAAATCTTCTTGTACTAAATTTATACTACAGGAAGCTGGCACTGTAGTGTTAGTTTTGTATTTTTAAAAACTCCTGTTTGTTTTATTATTATGATCCAAAATATTTTAATATTGCTTGTGTAATCCAGGCAGACTTAGAAATATCCAAAGTGGAACTCTGCTAACCTGAGTTAGGATTGTGGCATGTTTTATAGAAGCCTTTTAAAGCATAGACGTGCACCACAATGCTCATAGGAAGGCCACACTGCATGACACAGTTGTTTTATATTTTGTCTTGTCTGCATGTTAACCAGCTTTATTTTCTGCAGTTCTAGTCAGTGAGGACCAAACCAACCAGCATTCTAGTAAGCAGTTTACACATGTGGTCTTTATCTCTTCCACCTTACACATCAAAGATGTTAACTACATATTGGTGATAAGTCAACATGCTAGTTAACTGAACTGTGGAACTTAGGGCTGTTCAGAATGATTAAGGTTCCAGTACTCACTGCCCCTTATCTCCATGAGGACTCTCGTAGATTGCAATCAGATTAACAAACTAACATGGTCCTTTCCGAAAACGGAGAGGCTGGTGATTATGTGAGTACATTAGAAACCAGAGGAGGTGTGCTAATCTGTTAATCTGATTGAATACAGAGAGAATTCGTGTGGAGTCGGTGCACACTAGCTGTTGCAACCCAACTCATTCTGAATGGTACCTTTGTCCTTTCCTTTCCATTTGGACCCAGTCACTCCCTCTCCTGATACTCAGAGCTCTAGTTTGCAGTGTCAGTATGTTCTCTGTGTTTGTGAACCTTTCACAGCCACTGGCACAATTAACTGGACGGGTCCACTATGAGAGACTGATAACTTTGTGGAAATAAAAAAAAACTGTAGCATACTTAGATGTTAGTACCTGGTATCGTAATTAAATGTCAGGACCAGACATAGTGAACCAATCCAGTTAAGTGTTCAGTTCAACATGGAGAGATCCTTGAAGATATGCTGTGTTCTGTTGTTACTTGTGTTTTTAACTATCACTTTCAGAGGCAGTCATCTGGTTACAGAGTCACATATTTTATAATAATCATACCCCAGCGTCTTTCACCTTTTTGTTCACTTGTGTATATTACAGTATGTACTTTCTACTACAGGCGTGTCATTGGGTTGCCTCTGTGCTTTATAGTCATTTTGATTGAATTAATTTTGTATTGATTTTTATCAAGAAATCCTTAATGACTCGCCTGACTTAATCAAGTTTGCGTTTCTCCTATTCCTTAGGGAGTGCACTCTCTGTGAAGAATGAATTTTATTGTCTCATTTTAGGATGTTTTCCCTTTTGGAACTTTTGCTTTGTTTTAGTAGAGATAAAAGATGTGAAGGCCAGATGGTTTCTGGCATTTTGCGAGAAGTCATTGTTGGCTTTATTAATAAAGCCATTGTTGATATTCTGATATTGTTATTATAAGTGAAATTTTGCTTCATTCAACAGATTGAAATTTTATCATTTTTAACTTTATTTATTTTATATATTTATTCATTCATTGCTTTCAATTAATATTTATCAAACTGCCAACATATAGTTACATATCTGATACATAATAATGGTAAGCATACTCACACATTGCTCTGTTCTCTTAAACTGCTTGAAAGATTAGTAAAAAAAAAAAAAAAAAACTTCTCACTATCCACAGGCCTTAAAGAAGAAAGTCATATGGACCAGCTGGCAGAGACGTACCCCGGTGGACGTCCAGACAGCGGACATCATCCCACTGGACACGATGCGGACGGACCGACCATGCAGCAGACGCTGGACATGTTGATGAAGAAACTGTCGGACAAGAGGAGAGATGCCAACAGACCCGAGGCTTTAGAGGTAAGACGACAATTTTTTTTTTCCTGGAAGGGCCTGCCATATAATCACATGTTAGTGAAAGCACAGATGTTTTTCAGTTAAATAGTTTTTGTGAACTTTGTCAAAATGAAAATTGTTTGATTTGGTAATGTGGGATGTTAGTTTAAGTGTGTTTCAAGGTCTTTGCACAAATTGCTCAACAGTCCCATGTATATAGATGTCACCACATTGGGACAGCCTATGTTGGAATAGGTTCATCACTTTGGTAATGTTAGAGGAATATAATTTTATGACAAAAGTTTGCTGCCTAAAAACAGTTCACTAGCTTTCAATAATATCATTTTGTTAAATTATATTGTTTGATTATTAATTTATGGCCCATTTGCTTCCAGATGATGAACAGAGAGCAGGTGCAGGATGAGAAACTTGCCGTCCAAAAAGTTTTATTGCAATTTGAAAATTTCCATGGCAGACCTGTAAGTAACAATACTGTATCCCAAATTTTACTTAAATGGATAATAAGTCAAATGCCATGTTTCATGTAACTCTTCCTCTTCCAATCTTTCTCAATGTATCGGTATAGGCTGTATAGCTTAAGTTTATTGCTGGGCTTGAAAAGGGCCTATAAGTGTACGCTATATTTCCCATGTATTATACCAGGTGACCAAGCCAGAGAAAGAATTGATGAGGCCACTCTATGATAGATACAGGAATATTAAGAGGACTCTTGCCAAGCCTATCTCGGTAAGTTCAATTTCATTTAACCAAGTTTTTTTTTTGTTTTTTTTTCTTGGGGGGGGGGGGGTGCACAGATTCACTCATCACATAAACAGCTGAATATATGATATAAAACTTGTTTTAATTTACTCTCAAGTTTGAACACAACAAAGTACACTATAATATATTCTGCACAAAATGAAGTGAAATGATGTGCAGTGACAACTAACACATCAAATACACACCAGCCAGTCTATCTTATCATGACCAGTTTGCTGTGTTTTATGTGTGTTTTATCATTAACCCAGTCGTGTAGTGTCCATCATTCTGCTGTTTCTCTCACCATGTTCTCACTGTGCCCACCACTGCACAATTTCAGCCATCAGAGAAGGATTTACCTTCCGTGCCAGAGGGACACACCATGGACTTCTCACCTGGAGAGAAGACAGTCTCTCAGCCACTGCCTAAAGTAAGCAGCCACCAAGCTGGGCTCCCAACAAGCCTCAGGGGTTATGTTTACAACACTTATTTCAGCCAGACTTCACAATCTTACAGTTGTAATTGATCACACCATTTGCTGTGGCTTTGATAACTTAAATGCTTTTTGCAGAATAATCCTAATTTTAGTCTTCATACATTTTTGAGTGTGTGGGGGGCATCTGTAAAAGTTCAATAAGTGTGGCTTGGATAACTTAAATAATTTTTCATAATAATCTTAATATTTCTTTAGTGTCCATACATTGTGTTTATTTATTTATTTATTTATTTATTTATTTATTTATTTATTTTGGGTGGAGGGGTTATTATTTGAAGATTTAATAATGATGTATTCTACAACCTCCTCACTGACATCATCTCATTGTAAACAAACTTCATAATTTTTTTTCCATACTCCAGGAGCCAGTCCACATTCACCTCCCAGCAGCAGAAATGGACGACCAGGATGAATTTGGTAGCGGGGAATTTTCTGTCACCAAAAACATGTCCTTGCTTCAGGACACCACAATGTTAGGGGTGAAAGGCAAAGTGAAGGAGTCCAATTTGCATGAACTGTCCATGTAAGAATCCATGAGAATTCTTCAGCTTTGTTTAGATTGATTGACTACAAGGAGATGTGCTGATTTAATTCCTTTAGTTTTTTAAAGGAAACATTCCTAATTATCCTTTACATAAAAACTAAGTTTGTAGCAAGGATTATATGTTCATAAACCTCAAAAAAGTATATGGGACACAGACACAAATTAAAAACAAGAAGGGTTGAGATGAAAAATTCCACAAATAATATCTTTAAGTTGATATTGTTGATGTCATTTTATGAAGTTAATTACCTAAAAGAATATAACGTGCATTAGAGACACAAACAGAAAAATCCCAGAGATTGTCTTTTTAAGTTGGTGTCATTTTATTAAGGGAAATTCATGTGTTGCAGATATGGTAAGATATTTTTATGTGAAAAGTTGTATTTATGATATTTTTATTCAGGGAAGAGCTACTTGCAGAACAATCAAAAACAAGAACTGAAAAGAAAAGATTACGAAAATTTTTGCGAGAGTTTGAAGATGATTTCCTGAAGGAAAATGGAAGGTTTGTTGAAACATCAGCATTGAGGAAGGTTTGATGAAAAGAAATGAAAGCAAAATGCATTATTTGTACTTACTGATGGTATATGATGAAGATTTCTTTGAATGTTGAAATAACTTCAACTCTGAATGGTTAAATTAAAATAAGGATTTCACATTTTCTTAAGATTATAGTTGTTCATAAAGTTTACTTCATCGATGACTTATAACATACCAGCCGTTCTGGAAAAATTGATTTGATTTTCAAAGGCAGAAAATATTTCTGAATTCTTAAGATCAGTAAAGTGAAGATACTGCTTTTTTGATGAGTTAAAGGAAACACATATATAGTGGATTTAATTGTCTGTCATTTCAGGAAAGTGCAGAAGGAGGACAGACTACCCATGAGCACAGAGTATAATGACTATAAAGTAAGTGTTGTGACTGGCCTTTACTCTGCTGGAAAACCTTGGAAGGTTGTTGTTAATGTAGGGCAGATATTGCGTTCACTAACAGTGCCATGAAAGTGATATCCTGTTTATAATGCAGTATGTGGATCTGGTAGCCAGGGAGGGGGGATTCGTACAAACTACCTTTCTTGCCTGGAAAAGGTCCACTCTGGGTAAATATTGATCTAGGTATAATGAAGGCTTCGTGGTAAAAGGTCAGCTTTTTTCGAAAAAAGACCCTCACTATGAAATTGTTGGCTGCTAACCAGTATGTGGAGCCACGTGTCAGTATAGCTGAATATGCATATTTAGTCTTCATTGGCACCTTCAGAGATGTTTAGAGAGCTTATTTTCATCAGTTTTAATCAAAGTTTTGTTGTCCTTTCCAGCAAATCAAGGCCAGACTGAAACTCCTGGACGCTCTTATTTCTAAACATGATCCCAGCAGCACCATATGACCTAGTATAGGTGGCGCCACATTCTACAGTAAGTTTGCCTGACCACTGGACAAGTTTGGTCGCAGTGAAGATGGCAGGATGGCGTGCATTGAATGCTGGGTACTGAAAGCCAGTCATCCTTACACAGCGGTGAAGGGAGCCTGAGGACCTCGTCGTGTTCTTAACAGAAGTTGCATTCCATGATTGCAGTGTGGAAACCAAAGCTTATTTTTGCTAGAAAACTTCTGCTGCAGATATGCACAGAAATATTGTGTATGCTATAATGTATACAATAATACAAATATAGTAATCATGACAGCATGTCAGTGTAGTATTGCAGTGTAGTATTGCTACACTAAGATTTATAAATTTGTTGAAGTATGGATTTTGCAGTTTGCATACAACTGAAAGTTGTGAAGTGAACTTTTTTGATGGCAGCTGCAAAATGTCATAACAAGAAGAGAGTTAGTAGTTAAATATAATATTAAGGGCAACTCAAAGGCCAGTGGGGTTGTACATTGTTATATTAATTCCAGAAAAAGAACATTGAACAATGAAAAATGAAATGGACTAGTAAAATATAACCTGTAGATAGAAAACCTCACAGGAAGTTTCTGGCAGAATCCAAACGTGATTTTGTTCAGGTGACAGGCAGCAAGTACCACTACAAATTCTCAAAAAAAAAAAAAAAAAAAAAATCAAAATCATTTTATTGAAATAAGCACGTTAATGTGTAAATTCAGTATTTTGCCCCTTGTGCATATCTTACAAGTCTCATGCCTTGTGCTGAAACACTTTTTTTAACACAAGAAAATGTAAAATCCTTCCATTAGATATTTTCTTGGAGTGAATTTCTGTGCTTGCCTTCCTAAGTATACCAGTGTTTACCTGTGCAGGTGTTAGACAGACAAGTCCAGGGCTCAGTAACTCGATAGCATCGCAAATTGCAAATAGCGATATCACCTCTTATTTCGAGGCTATTATATGGGGCGAGTAAATCCCCAAGTTATGGAATAGAGTTGCAATTTGTGATGCTTTAAAGTTACAGAGCCCTGGGTTTAATGCTGTATCTGACATGGTTACATTAGTGTCTCTTTGGCAGCGTGACAAGACAGGTGTTATATATGAGGAGGAACAGGTTCAAATATCTGGGTTGTTTTCAGCCTTTGTTAAAACCTTGATTAAGTATAGTGGCAGGAGAAATTTACTCGGTTGAGACATTTTCAGCAGCTTTGAGTAACTTTGAGAGTTGAACCTTTATGATAAAAATTATTATGTTAGTTGCAGTGTGTGCCTGAATTTCATCACCACTTGAAAAATATTCTCCACGAAAGCATGTGACAGAATTGAACTCTGATGAATTGAGAACAATAAGACTGTGATATAGCCATACCCAGTGCCATCCAAAGTTTTTGAAATGTGTTCACTAAAACAACCCCTCTACAAGTCCCTCTTCTTGCTAGTAATGTATGTTCAGGGAAATTGTTCCAACCAAATCTCACATCTGTCACATTTTATATCCTATGTGATTATCCTAATATCCTACACGGTTATCCTAAAATCCTACACAGTTACCCTACTATCCTACTCAGTTATCCTAATATCCTACATAGTTATCCTGAAATCCTACACGGTTATCCTTAATATCCTACTCGGTTATCCTAATATCCTGCAGGATTATCCTAATATCCTTCATGTCTATACCACTCTTGAACTTACCCTGAACTTCAAATGCTGATAGTGACACTGGTTTAGAGGAAAGTTGCTGTCTGTGCTCAGAAATTTGGGTGATGGAGCCTTTGTGTAGGATGAAATTTCATTATAAACAAGTTTATTTCAGGTTGTTACAGTGGAAATGTGCATGGGTCTGTAGATGTAAGATACTAATCCGTCCATTAGCTACTTCCCATTGCATTGGTCCTTGTGTTTTGACTAAGGGCAAAGAATGAAGATTACTAATGTTTTCTATTTTTGAAATGAAATGTGTCATATTTCAAAATCATTTTTGAGTACACTGAAAATACACTTTAAGGTTAAAGGTTAACAGTAACAGGAGTGATGACAAGGTCAAGGTCAAAACCTGATTTTGGAATTGCCTGTACCTGAGGGAATCTTCATTGTTTCCACAGTGCTTTCACTGTTCTTCACAGATTTTTGCAACACTGCCTGAATCTAAAGGTTGTTTTGGTGATAAAACATATCTTTTTTTGTTTCTATATATAATTGTTTCACTAATTGTCTTTTCTACAACTTATTTTTGCATAAATCCAGATGTCTGTCACTTAATCTTTCAGTAGTCTTATCAAGATTTACATTGTATATTTGTATAGAATGTTAAGTATATTGGTACCAAAGTGTCAAGTAATGTATATTCTCTGCAGCATGTTACTTGAGAGAAATCCATGGACATTACTAGTGATTTTGAAAGCCAGGATAAAAATTTATATTTGTACGTTTAAAGACATTAACTGTATTGTCTTAGATTGGAAATTTTGCCAAAGATGAGCAGGACTGGCATCCACTAAAAAAAAGGATCCTGCTTTGTAACCTAGAGTAAAATTACAAGATTTTTGTGGGATCTGAAAAAGTGGCAGAATATATTGATGAAAGGTATCTCCACTGTGCTTCATCTGATTTAGCCACATCAATATACTGTTTGTGAAACTTGAATACACACAAGCATACACAGTACTTTATGGTAAATAAAGTTTGTACATTTTAAAACTTAAAACTGACTTCACTTGTGGTTTTTACATCAGTTGAGCTGTATTATGACCATGTAGTCTATGTTAACAGGTGGGGGGGGGGGGGCTAATATATGAAGAATCTGCCCGTTTGGCTAGGAAAAGATCTACTCTGAATCAAATACTTGATCTAGGTTGCGCAATTTGATAATCAAGTGTCTTCAAACAAAACGGTATTGTTTCCATTTAAACTCAGGAAAAGAAAGAAGAAAACGGCATTTTGTGAAAATGTATCTCTTTATTCAGGTTACGTGTAGATCTCATATCCATCGTCACGGTAGCAGACAGTGGCTGAATGCACTTAGAAGACCTCTGTCTGCTGTGAGACGTCTCAAGTCAGACTGTCTGTATACCAGTTGTCAGCCTGGCCATCATATTGGAGGAGAAATACACAGAACACTGAAAATATACAACAGTTTAACAATTTTATCAATTCTAATAATTAAGTCTCGCCTTCCAAACGAGATCGTTAACAATTTGTTTCACTCTTGGGTCCAGTGGATTCACTCTGGGAGCAAGCCTGTAACGCGGGCGTCCCCGGTGGTCCAGCAGAAATTTCTCAAAATTCCAAGTTATGTCGTTCACCTTGATTGGCGTCCAGAACAGCTTCTTTGGGTCGCCAATGGTTTCCGATACGGGTGGACAGGCGGACTGGAAATGGTCAAAACTCAACGGTTATCAAATACAAATGTTATCTTTCAAATGCATCTTTTAAGATATAATTAAAATATAAAATTCAGTAGATCACTTTAAGTTTCGTTTTTTGTACGATTCTCGTTACAAGTATAGGGTCTTTCCACTTTCTTCCCACTTAAAACGTGGATTTTAAAAGAATTCAGTACAACATAGAAAAGAAATGTTTTAGTACCTTTAGAAATGTGAACAATGGGTTTTCATCAGGCCCGTTGACGTCTGTTTTAGCCATGAGTCTGAAGTTTGGCTCAAAACCTTTCCCAGGGCGCACAAACTTCAGACTGTTATAGATCTCCGAGGCGTTGGCGCCCGGTTCCTGGAGGCCGAACTGATTGCTGGGATACCCTATGACGTCAAAGTATCCCAAGTGTTCTTCAACAAGTGCATTCAAACCAAAATACTGGGGTGTGCTTCCTAAGAATGACAGGAAATAAAGCTATTTAATTGCATGTAGTTCATACATGGTAGCTATTATTATTATTATTATTATTATTATTATTATTATTATGTCATGTAATCTGCGGATTCTTTCCATTGCCTACCTCAGGCAATGCCCAGGCAATCCTCTCACTTTTCAACCCAGATGTATATATTAACAGGTTCCGTTTCGATATTTTTACATACTGACCAGAGTGTAGAATGGGTTTATTGTTCAAAGCCCAAAGGCATGACCTTTTTTCATCCGTTAGTTAACAATTCAATATACAGTGACACCGCATTACGAACAGGATATCCCGTTTGTAAATCCAACAAGTGTACGCTGTATACAGCATATGGTGTAGCATATAAAAGTGATGTTACTTTTTAACGGTTTTTTAAAGTTCAGATGTTCCTAACTCGGTTTCACCAATGAGCACATTGGTTTCACTCTCAGTCTGTGTTCGTGTAAAGCCATTGGAACGGCAGGCACGCACAGAACGTGTGTATATAGAAGAAAGAATGAGCCCTCTTTCTCTCGCTGTTGTAATTTGCTTTTTGTTAAATTTTTCAGCATCCATTTCCAAATTTGTCACACACACTGGATTCATCAAAAGAGGAGCCGTAAGCACTTTGTTTTTCTCCAGTCTGCCAGCATAATGACGGTCGTCCTAAGTTCGTGTTTGTGTCCAAATTAGGGCGCTTCAACCGGACAATAAAAATAATTAATCTCTATCTCTCTATGCCACGTGCCACGCAAACTTAGCACGCAAATACAACCACCGTGTTACAGAAAGTTACTCTGACAGATTGCTTTCAGAACTATTACGTCTACGTATGTCATTTGCCGAGATTAAAGAATGTCTTACACTTGAAGGTTTTCGCCTGGTTCAGGGAGGTACTGTGGCAAGCGTCACCTCAATTACAGGAGAGAGAAATAAATACAGTGGAAAACACATTTGTTGTACAAAACACGAAGGAAATGAAATTAATTTATTTACTCAGGCTTACGACTGTACAAATAAGGGTGTGCCTATATGATTCGACAGGTCAGTACAAACTACAAACATGATGGAGCGAGTACGTGTAATCCATCAGTTCTACACGACTGTAGTATATCGTACTAAATAGACCAAAAAGCATAACATTTTGTATATTAGAAATCCTATTTTTTAAATATTTAAAACCATTCATGTTGCAACGCTACAATCTTTCCTAAATACTACACTCAGATGCAGGGGAAACAGTGTGGTACAAAATCTGAATTTTCCTGCCTTTATTGTACCTAAGTTATACATTGAAGCTTCACGTATAAAATCTGAATGCTTATTTATCATCATAATGTGAAGGTTCGCAGTCAGGAATATTTCTCTGTTAGATTAACAGAACTGGGAAATGTCTGTTGTCAACAGCACTCAAAGTACCAGCTTCCTAATTTGTATGGATGTGTCGATGACGCCATCCATATACGAGCTAACGGTAGTTATCTAATTCTAAAACTGAGATAATGGCTCATTTTTCCAACGAGTTTCCCAGCAAACGCACCATGAAGGCTGCGTCTCACTGCTTAATAGAGGATGCGTCCATGTAGACTAATGCTATATTAACAACAATCCATGGACGTGGCAGCGCGTCAAATCAATAGACTGTGCGGTTATTTTTTCTGATTAATTCGCTGTTTCACAGAACAGAAAGTACACGAATACCAACACAAATATGGATAAATATGGATATAGGGTTTAACTCGTATACTCTGGTTAAAAGTTTGTTTATAATTCTGTAAGGTACAAAACCATTTTTGTTCACACGGACGCGACAACTTGTTTGTGGTAACCTCCCGTATCACCTGCAGCGACTATAGCAAACTTACTGAATTCTTATTTATCCAGAGTCCCTAAACTTACACTTTTATTTATAAATATTAAACTGAACAGACGAATGATGAGTCAAACAATTATATGAAAAAAAAATGGATTGCGTTCAAAACTTTCATTTTCTAAAAAAAAATTATAATAAATAAAGATAACAAAGCAACCCGCATTATTGCCAGCATTTACATCCTTGTATAAATGTACTGAACACGTTAAACAGGTTATCACTCATAAAATATCAAGGAACTAATGCCAGGGATTAAAACTGCAACAATATGCACCATAGTCAATCATATTGGCACTAACAAAATGACCTACCTCAGAAAGAAGCCACATTGGTGACCATCACGGCTTTACCATAATATTCCTGGAGGTTTACCGCCTGCCCGTCCGCCAAAGCAGTGTCAGTGAATTGGTGAATAGAGCCTTTCCTGGGGTCACACTGGGAGATCTGCCCCAGGGTCCCCGGGAGACACAAGAGCAGGGAGAGGCCCACCAGACGCTCCATATGGCTGGCCTCCTCTCACAGAGAATGTCGAGCAAACGCTGCTCTGGTGTGACAAGATATCTCCCACTGCGTCGATAGGTTGAGATGATGAATAGGATCTATAGCAGTGCTTGCACTTAGGCCACGGGAAATTAGATTGATAGTTTACGTGGTTGTGTTTGTTTTCATCGTGAGGACTAAATTAGAATATTGGATATACAGTTAAACTGTTGAAGTTCTTTATTATTATTATTATTATTATTATTATTATTATTATTATTATTATTTAGATAAATGACTGTTGTTGTGAATATTTTTTGAGTTTGGGGTATCTTAAATGTCATACATTCTTAATTTGCATTCTAGTTATCTTTATAACTTCTTGGATTGCATGAACGGCTTCATCTTTACCAAAATTTGAAGGGAAGTCAAGGGAATGTTCATGAGGGAAGCGAAATAGTACAAACCCATACTGAAACAAACCAAAACAGTGAAAGTAAAATGTCGGCAGTTCAGTTAAACAGATACTTAAATATCACAATAACTTGTCCACGCTCAGTATATTCACGAACCTGGTAAAACAATGGTCATTATTCTTAGTCGGCAAATAAGGAGTGCTACTTTATTTCTGACCTGCTCTCTCTGTAGAACATGGGGCCGGGCACGCTATTTCGCGATTGTCCTTTTATTTCTTAGCCCACTCATTTTTTTTTTTTTTTTTTTGTTTGGGGGGGGGGGGGGCTCGTGCATCGGTTTAATGGTTACACACCTGTCAGTTATGAATAATTAGTGTTGTCCTTTCATGCTTATTTACGAAAAAAAATGAAACTATTTTTTCACTGTCTTTTATTGGCAACTCGTTCACATGGGTTAACCACGAAATATTTGAGGGAAGCCGTAACTTGTGTCCTTTCCTTGTGGTATTGTGTTTACTGCATGGTGCGAAATATTTGCCATTACTTTAACAGAAAATCTAACGGTAATCGCTGACGTATAAAGGATAGTGAAAACTGTCATCAGTAAGGGGCCATTCAGAAGAGAAGATCCGAGTATCAACTCGACCAAGGCTCAAGTATGGCGGACCCTACATGAAAGAAAGACCGCGCAATCCTGTAATGGTCTCTGCCTCTTACACGCCTCCCCACTCGTCGTCCCTGCAGTAGCACAGTAATTAAACCTCGGCTCCATTCGACCGGACACGTGGGGAGGCGTGTAAGAGGCGGACAGACCATTACAGGATTAAGCGATTTTCCTTTCATGTAGGGTCCGCCATATTTGAGCCCTGGACCAGTTGATACTCGGATCTTCTATTCTGAATGGTCCCTAAGATATATCTTAATGCCAGTGAAGCAGCTCAGGTAGGATATTGTTTAACAGTACACCGGTTCCAGCTCACTCCTCCGTGTTGGACGCAAATTAATTTACTGTTAGGGTAAGGATGTGTGACAGGACATCTCATTATGACCTAGAAACCGGTTGACTCAAAGAAAATCTAACATTATAAGAAAATTAAATAAATAAATAGGTTGACTCAAAGAAAATCTAACATTATAAGAAAATTAAATAAATAAATAGGTCTAAATAAATAAATAAACAAACAAACAAAGACAGGTCTAAATAAATAAATAAATAAATAAATAAGTAAAGGAATGGAACACAAAGCATGTATATCAAAATCAAAAGAAACTTGTCTCGTTAGTTTCTAAAATTTCTACCATATTTTTTGCATATGCATATAATGGATAATGGATAATGGATAGTTCATCGACTGGCAATAAAATACATGTTAACAAGACTAGCCCGTTTGTTTACAGAGCAGTGTGACCACGAACTCTATTATCTCAGATCTGTTATTGCAGCTTACATAATCCCAAGGAAATTTTAATAAAAAACGGCATTTTGTGAATATGTATCTCTTTATTCAGGTTACGTGTAGATCTCATATCCATCGTCACGTTAGCAGACAGTGGCTGAATGCACTTAGAAGACCTCTGTCTGCTGTGAGACGCCTCAAGTCAGACTGTCTGTATACCAGTTGTCAGCCTGGCCATCATATTGGAGGAGAAATACACAGAAGATTAAAAAATATGCAAAATGTCAACAAATAAGGAGTTAATAACTTTGATTACCAAGCCTTGCCTGGGACACCAGATTGGACACAAGTTCTTTCACTCTCGGGTCAAGTGGGTTAACTGCAGAGGCAACCCTGTAACGCGGGCGACCAAAATGGTCCAGCAGAAATTTCTCGAAATTCCAAGTAATGTCGTTCACCTTAATTGGCGTCCAGAACAGCCTCTTGGGATCGCCAATGGTTTCCGTGGCGGGTGGACAGGCGGACTGCAAATAATTTAAACACTTGCATTTTCAATGGGCTGATTTCTAATTAAATATGATATCCGGTATATACTGGTGTCCATATTATGCTAGGGAGATTTTAATTTCGTGTCTTTTCGAATTTATGGGGCTTAAAACTCGCTACAAATGATAATATTGCAATATGGATGATAGTGAACACTATTTCAAGATTTATCATGGACAGAATTACGAAATTCGTAATTTTTCCTATGGATGTATGTATAACCAGACGACCAGTTATACAAGCAACATATATCGGCACAAGCTATTATCTAAATGCCTATGGCAGTTCGGGGTACCTGAGCCATTTGAAAATAGATAAATATAATTAATCTAACAAGTTCATGTGAGCAAGTCAATAAGCAGCGACAATCTATACAATTGGATGTCGACGTGGAAATGCATGTTAGAAACGACAAAACATTATACATGTAATCCGGTAGGTGTCGCCACTAAAGAATTCATCCACCTTTCTTCCACGTAATTAATCGAGAAAAAAATTGGATATGAATGAACTAATTTACAAGTAAACAATTCGCATTACCTTTAGAAATGTGTAAACGGGGTTCTCATTTGGTCCGTTGACTTCAGTTTTAGCCATGAGTATGAAGTTTGGCTGGAACCCTTTTCCAGGGCGCACAAACTTGAGCCCAGCGAAGATTTCGGTGGCGTTTTCGCCCGGTTCTTGGAGACCAAACTGATTGCAGGGATACCCTATTATGTCAAAGTATCTCCCATGTTCTTGAACAAGTGCATTCAAACCAAAATACTGTGGTGTTCTACCTGTAATTATGAAGATATTTTAATCTTTTAAAGCTCCATAAACATATCTGATTTAGCTTCGTTGTCTATCAAATTATAGCCCGATGTTAAACAGTTTTCAATGCGCGTTTCAAAATGAACACGAAGCAGGTTAAATATTCTAAAGCTATATGGACAACAATATATCAACGTGACACCACTACTTTGCCGTGTTCGACGTCCCTGTATTACAGATAATAGGCTGTATTCAAGCCAATGTATCGGCTAAATGGTTGCAAAAATTGCGCACAAGTTTCCTTAATTGGTTTTAAAACCAACATTGTTGCTGTAAGTTCGTTTACCTTTGAATAAACATTCTACATACCTAACAAATTCATAAATGAACTTACTACTCAGGATATACAGCGACACCCGACATTGATTTTTTTTTCATTTTTGAAATAAAAAATCGATTTACCTCAGAAAGTTGCCACGTTGGTGACCATGACAGCTTTTCCAAAGTATTCACCGAGACCAACTGTCCTGTTGTCCGCCAAAGCATTGTCAGTGAATTGGTGGATAGAGCCTTTACTGGAATCACACTGGGAGATCTGCCCCAGGGTCCCCGGGAGACACAGGAGCAGGGAGAGCCCCAACAGACGCTCCATATGGCCGGCCTCCTCTCACAGGGAAAGTCTCTCTCTCTCGCTCTGTATGATCTGGAAGATGTGCTGCTGCCTTTTATTACCTCACAAAACGAGTTGCACGTGATGAATAAGATCATGACAAATTGGAACGTAAGTTTTGCGCAATAGCGTGTTCTTTCTCATCAAAGAAAGGGGCAAAAGAATGGGTGAAAAATATACATTAGACCTGTTGTTAATCGTTCTCTTTAAGAGAAAAAAGGAATGGATTTTTCAATGTTGTATTTTTAGGTAAAAAGACTTTCACAAATAGTTACAAGTTGTATATTGTCGGTATGGCAAAGCAACACGTTAAATTACTGTGGAAAAAATAAAGAAAAATCAGATTAAATTACTGGAATCATTTGAAAAAGCAAGATTTTTCATTTATGTCTGAAATATACTGACAGTGCCATAACACAAAAACTGGATTGACTACATAACATGCGACTCATAGTTTCAAACAACTTTTATTAAAATTCAAATCACACGTGTTTGGTATACTCATGGAAACGACGAAAAGAAAATTTTTTACAAATGCGGACGGAGGATCAGTCTCTGCCCCTTCTAAAATCTCTGAATCAGTTAAACCTATTAGGCCCAAACACTGGTAATTGCATGAACTGCCATGGCTTTACCAAAATGGCATTTATTATTTTTTTTACTGTACATACAGCTGGTGAAATAACGCAAGAAGTGATACCTTATGCGGTCACAGTGAGATTGCAAAGTGTTTTTTTTTTCAACATTAGTGATATCCACGTCGCATGGCATGGAAATAAGCGATGCTATCCACGCAGCAAAGCGAAACAAAGGTTTCCTTTCTTAGTCGAAAAAAAAGTTCTGCTAAAGAGCCGACCAGAACTGTCAGCTGAATAATGACGCCAGACACGTTACTTTACAGAGTACTCTTTTAGCGTCTATTAATATCCTTCGCTAATTTACGAAACTTGTCTACATTCATTTACATTCATTTACCACAAAATATGCTACGTGCCCTTCCACTGTCGTCTCCACTGAAAAATAAATGCAGCCCCACTGAAAATAAACGTCGCCCCAGCAAAGCAACTTACTAATTTTAAAATCACTTAATATTTTACATGTAATAACAGGGGCGGATCCACGATTGTTTGAAAGGGGGGGGGGTCCGTGGATGAAAAGCCTCCCCCCCCCCCAAACATTTTGGTATTTTTGAGGGCGAACGGTGCCATTTGGTACGATTAAGAACTATGATTCAGCTAGTCAAAATTCCAATTTCAAGAGGGGACCATTGGTGTGATTTTTTTTCAGAAATCGAAGGGGGGGGGGGAGGTAATGATATAATGATAGAAATTCGTGTATTTTTTATTTTTGGCTGATATGTCCTGATGGGAGGCCATCAGAATAAAATTAATGTGCCTTCATTTGGACTTAGTATTCACCGCCAACTGGAGTCAACTTTCTCAAGGAACATACGAAGGGGAAAACGCCGTGCCAAATATGCCTACTCTAGTTAGACGGATGGCTTTTTGAGTTCTCCCAAACACTCGCAAGTCAATCAATAGAAAACTTAAAAATCAAAAAGTTTGCAACTATTCTTAGAATTCGTGTCTGGACGCGTCGTTTCCCAGCACAGCACATTAATGGAGGGATTTGAAATGTTTTTCTAAACATTTCTAAAAATACGGATAATCGGGAAAATGATCTAAAATGCGTCTTTTGAGATCGAATGAGAAGAATCGGGAAAATGCGTCTTTTGAGATTGAATAAGAAGTTAGTAACTTTGATTACCAAGCCTGGCCTGGGACGCTAGATTGGACACAAGTTATTTCACTCTCCGGTGAAGTGGGTCAACTGCAGAGGCAACCTTGTAACGCGGACGTCAAAGGTGACCCAACAAATCAGCACTCAAACGGCACGACACTGCTGTCTGTCTGTCTGTGACAAGATTGGTCAAGACAAGCCATTTTGTTTACAATATTGTTTTAATTGCAAGATTGTCTTTCTTTGCATATTAATTGATATTTCATTTATATTTATCCTGGTATAATGGTTTTGAATAATCGCTTACAAATGTTCATTGTTACGTGAAAATATTCTGATGGTGCCTTTCTTGGAAAGGAATTTCCATATTGACCAATCAAAAGCGTTGGTGCCGTNTTACCTGTTGAGCATAATTAAAATTTGATGTTGAATTTACAGTTTAACATAATGTACTTTTGCATCTGAATTGACAGTAGCCTATTTTGTGCATAGTTATTTCCTGCTTTTTGTCTGTACATTTGACAGCTTTGCTGCCTTGTTAAATTACTCCGCGAGGACAAATTTGAAAGTACACTACCTACAGTTGTAAACAAATGGTCAAGTTATAGATCTGCATTTCTTGTGGTGATAGCTTCTTTTAAGGACGCCATGTATACCTTGGATGAACTAGAAGGACTTAAGTATGCAAAGCTCCAGGAGCTTGCTAAAGAAGCCGGGATTAAAGCTAATGTCAAGGTAAGTATCATTTTGTGAAATGTTTGATATCAACACGATACTGATAAGTGAATTAATTGACAACTTGGATTGGATATATATGTTTTATATATTTACAGAGAGATCAGTGGCAAATATTGCAAAATCATGCAAAAATATTAATAAAATACACCCAGTTTTGTTTGTACACCTTCTATCCAAGAAATCTACAATCTAGGTTCTCTGTAGTGTTAAAGACTGACTCTTACTGTGAGTCTGTTTACTTTACTCACCACTCTATCCTACCCACCAATAACTTTACTAGATACTGGGTGGTTTTGGTTATATAATATCATTTTAAATGTGACTGCAAGAAATTGTGAGCTCTATTGATTCTGTGTTGATATAGATCTAGGTTTTTAGATTTTTTATTTTACCTTATTTCAGGCTGAGAAATTGGTCAGAGATCTTGCCAAACATTATGATAATTTGGCAGGAAAAGATGGAAGCAGTGAGGTAATGTAATATAACTGCAATAATTATGGTGATGTTGTCACCTTTGTTAGCAAGACATATACAATGTAAATAGATCCTACTACTTTAACATTTTTTATTTCTTTTGCATGCACATAATTTCCACATGAAACCACAACACAAACCCAATCTGAAAAATAATTGGTAGTCCAGTTCTCTGGCATCTTAGGTGGTCTAAATTTTGAGCATTGTTTATGTGAGAAAATATTTGAAGTCATGTGTTATATTTTCCTCTAGGAGTCTGATGCTAAATCTCCAAAGGAAAAACCTGCCAGGAAGATAGCAAAGGGAAAGAAAGGAAACAAAAGGAAGAAGCAAATAAAGGTGAGTAAAGATGAAAATGGTAAATTGATTTCTATATATATTATATAGAATTATGGAAAGTACTCTTTATTTTTTAATCATTATCAACCTTAGCCATGTTTAACTTCATTTTTTGTTCTTTTGCAGGCTGACGAAAGTCCAACTGAGACTGACAAACAAGAGAAGGAGAGAATCAAGACACCAGCAAAGTCCCCCAAGGTCATGACCCCTAAACCTAAGAGACTGTCAGTTATCAAAGCAGAAGAAACTAGATCGTCACCCAAGGCATCTAATGGGGCGCCCTCTATGGGCAGCAAGAGCAACCTACAAGATGGTGAAGCCAGGAAGAGCAAGGGAACCCCTTCTTCAGCTCAGGGATTGAAGAGAAAGAGACAAAATGAAGACAGTTTTCAGGTAGTTTGAATCATTTCCTATTTCAATGCTTAGAAAGTGCAGTTTTTCTTCAAACATAAGTACTTTATAAAAATGTCTGATGGACTGTGGAGGTTACTACATGTTATCTGTTACTCTCTGAAATATACTGGTAATGGAAATGATCACAAAAATTTACTTTAAAAGAAAGCAGCTTCATCTGTTGAACTTCCACGTTGAAATTAGTTGAATACAATTTCCTTTTTTCCTCCCTCCCCCAGAAAACTGCCACTCCACAAGAGCAGCAATCAGAAAGCCGTGTCTCTACAGGGAGAGCAAAGAGGGTCAGGACGGGGACATACGACAAGGAGGACAGCATTATCATTGCCAGCAGTCAATCCAGTAAAAACTCAAGCCCAGGTAGGCTCTTATTGTCAGATTGAACATTTGATTTTTGAAACTTCTCAAATCTTATTATTAGTATTATTATTATTTTGCTGTCTTCCTTTGATATGAATTTGACATTAAGGACTTACTACAATTAGAATAAAGCATGAACTTCAAAGAACAACGCTGCCTGACTGACTGTGTACTAATAGGTTTTACTATCACTTTTTTGTTTGTTTGTTTGTTTGTTTGTTTGTTAAATGGGTGTTTTATAACAAATTGTTAATGAAAGACATTTTTCATGGTTAATTGCTGTGATTTTTTGCTAATTTTTTCATTCTTATTTTATATGTGTAAATAAGTATAATCTAAATGTGTGTCCTCTTCCTTTGTTATTTGCAGCTCTGAGTGGAGGGAAGGAAAGTGCTAGTTTGACTGAAAAGAAAGAAGCAGCAAACAAAACAACAGAAGGTATTCATGTTTATTTATTTAATAGCAGCAGCATCTGGTTTTGTCGTGTCCTGTACCCATATTTTATATGAGTATGTGAGTTGTAAAAACTTTCTACAGTGCCATGCATAATTGAACTAATTGATCTTTGTAATTTTTTTTTTACTGGTTATCTAATTAATTCTTGAAGACACATCCGTAGGTGATGATTTCTGGTGAATTTCAGGAACAAAACCAAAAACCCAGACCAACATTCCAAGGTTTGCTGCATTTGCTGCCAAGAAGAAGGCAGAGAAGAAACCAGTAACACCAGGTAATGGTCATGACACAGAACTTTTCCTGGTAGACATGTTCTATTGGTTGTGTGTGGACACTCTAATGATTGGCCAACTCTACATTTTGATTTTTACATAATAGCGCTTCCTTGAAGAAAAGGGTTATTGATTAGCATAAAAGCATGATCTTGTAGTTGTTTTGTACAGCAACCTGTTGGTATGTATCATCAAGATCAATACTCTAGTCATGTCACTTCCTGAGTATTATCTTACTTTTACTGGCTGTATGTGTGGAGTTCAATAGATAGGGTTTGCTAACAGTGTTTTATTGACTGAATGTTATAAATATCAAAGATTTACAATTTTTTATTTGCGAGGAACGCTTCTGTCAATATTTTTAAATTTACAGGCAGCAATTTATGTTAAAAAGAAATGAGAAAAGAATAAGGAAAATGGCATTTTAAATTTTTAGGTATTGGAATGTATTGTGAATTTAAAAAAAGCTGTTCAAAATTTAATATTGAGAAAAAAACGAGTTGTTTGGTGTTTGAATGCAAAATTCCACTAAATTTTATGTACACACATATCTGTAGGCAATAAAGACTGGGCTAAGATTCACCAAAAGAACTTTGACAAAATGGACTCCATTGATGTGTACTTGGAGAAGAAGAGGGAGAGAACAAAGAGCATTACAGCTTCTGTGAAGAAAGCCCGTATGCTCACAGAGCAAGCAAAAGCTTCAGTGCAGAAACTGAAGAACCACAGGACACCAACAAACAAGGTAGAAAATTTAGATGTTTATTTTAGAGGTCTTGATACTCTCGTTCTACATACATACAAACAACTGCTTACAGCTATTTGTTGCTGACAAATTTCATTGTCATTCATCTGTCATAGAAATATATATTAATATTTTAAAGGGACGTTTTTTTTACATATATTTGATTGTAAATAAAATGTGATATAGAAGTGTGAAACACACAAAAAACTTGCATCATTTGCTTCTTTTGTTATATATTTCAGCATGCAACCTAAAACCTAGCCTCAGTTATAAATTTTTACTTCCAGGGTCCAAAGTTTGCTAAACCAGTGAAAGCATCCCTGTTCAAGTCTCCTCACTCTGGCGTGCCATTTGTGCCGTCCGTCACGTCCACCTCAAAGATGAACCTCAACTTCAACGGCATCCTCAAAACACCCATTGCCAAAACAGGGCCTACGCCTGGGGATGGCATCGCCAAGACAAAGGCCGTGACGGTCAAGTCTCCCGCTAAGGCTGCGGACAAATCCGGAGACAACACCAAGGAGAATAAGGAGAAGAGGAAGTCCATGGTCAAGAGGAAGTCCGTTGGAGACAGCAGGAAGTCCATTGGAGCTGGAAGGAAGTCCATTGGAGACAGCAGGAAGTCAATTGAAGCTGGAAGGAAGTCCATTGGAGACAGCAGGAAGTCAATTGGAAGTGAGTGTAATTTTCATTTGGACATTTGAGGAGTAAATTTTTTTTAAAAACTCACTGATAGATTTATCACATCTGTGGTGGCTGTTTATTAGCTTCTTTGAACAACTTTTCAAACCTCACATTTTCAAAGAAAATGGTTGAGGCACTTTTACAGGGCTTGACACTAACTTTTTTCGATACTGGCCCGCGATATGGGTAAATATTGCAAGGATGATTTGACACATGACATTTTACTTGGTCTTCGGGCCAGTGACCCCATCAATTCAATGGCCCTAGGTTGGTTTTCAGTGGCCCAGGGCCAGTGGGCCACCCTTAATGTCAAGCCCTGTTTTAATGTCTTGTGTATTTCAGACAAAACCAACTTAAGTAAAAAATAAGTGCAGAAAGGTTAAAAAATTGAAATACAAATTGATTTTCACATCAAGTTCGTAACCATTATTCAGCTGTTTAATTCTTCTCCTTTTTAGCAACACCCTTCAAGTTTGGCAACACAACCCTCGGTGCGAACACCACACTGGGAAACACCGCCCTGGACACCAGTCAACCCGCGACCAATAAAAAGCCAGTATTTGACCTGAAGGCCAGCTTGGCTAAACCCATCACCTGGAAGCCCTACACTGGCAAATTGAAGCCCATTAACTTTAAGACAGAGGGACATCAGCAGCTGGCTAACAAGGGCCCAAAATTGCAAACACGGTAAGTTTTTGAAAATTGATTTTGCCCTTTTCTTATAGAAGATAACATATGGATTCTCATATGAGAAAAAAAAAATCTGCTTAATATTACGTGGTGTCCTTTTGGGTCATTTGAAAGTAACGGTTTTTCCTTTCTAGTTTTTCTTTCAGTTTTTCATTTTGACTGAAGAAAATGAGCACTTTTTAAAATGTTTTGTAGATGTTACTATTTTTAATTGAACAGAAAGCAAGTTCATGACAGGCGAGCAATACATTCGGTTTTTCTTTTTGTCCAAAATTTGGATTCATTGGTCATGTTCTTCTGCATTGTGTTGTTAGTCTGCCATCTTAAAGTATGGCGAGATTTGACTTTAACAGGTATCTCAAATGGACTATGGGCTTGAGAACTTTATTACAGAAGAGGGTGTTTCCATATCTGGCAACCCCATATAACAGGTGTCTGTTTATAAAATGCAGATTATTTTTTTTCTCACAGGGAGGACAGACGAGCAGCCGCTTCTCTTCACCGGGCAAACAAGAAATACGACATGCAGCTGAAGAGAAGAAAAATAGCCAATGCCTGAGTGACTTTTAATGAGAAAATGGGGGGAAAAACTTTCAACATTTCCACCAGCTCCATGTCATTATGCCATAGTAACTGACTAATTTTTTTAAAGTGGTATGCTGGAGGAATGACGTCACATCATTTTGTGGTGTTAGATCTGTTGGTTTTTATATTCTTGGTACATGTTTACAGCACCGAAATTGTAGTGACCCTAGAATTAGCGGTGTACATAAGGCAGCTTATAGCGTACAGATGAATGCCCAAGATTTCTTATTTTTTATTGTAAATAAGGATGTTAACTGGTAATGTATTTGTAGTTAAAAGAGTACATGTGAAGTTGATTGTATTTGACTTGTTTGAATGTCATGGATTAGGAATTTCTTTGAAGTTGTATTTTAATTCATTTTTTATACAAAAAACAAATTATACTTAATTATGTAGAAATGATTTAAGCTTTTAGAGTCTGTGTACCAACGTACATTTAGTATTTCACTACTGTTGTAATGTTTTGGATTTAATCTTCCAAAATGGGTTTCATGTAATATGGAATGTGCATATAAAACACTGTCTTTGAAACAGTTGGTAAGGGCTCAAGTAAAACATGAAAAACAAAAAACTTTCTAGTTTCTTTTTTTTACAAGTAATTTGTATAATAAATGGCACAATATGGTTGATGTATAAAAAAATCAATTTACATTCTAGATCAACATGATCGGAGTATATGAAGTATTGACATTAAACAATATTGTCAATGAAAAAATGCCAATGCACTGAATATTGATAAACATTTTAACACTGTTGTAAATCAAAATTATTGTCTTAATGTCTTCTCATATAATATACTTTTTTTTAAAATGCCTTCAAGTAATTTGTGACATTTGGTCATGATTAAGACTGATTAGACTGACACATTACCATAAGGTGAGTTGGACAGATTATGGGTAAATAATAATAATAACATGTCATCCTTCTATTTGGGGAAGGAGGTACTGATATAATCTACAATTGTATAGTAAGAGAACCTGATACCAATTTAACAAAATTACATTGCCAACTATCTTCTTTGAACCTGGTAATAAAGCAGAACTTGGCCCTGAAAATGACAAAGTGGAATGGATTTTTTTCCCAAAGAATCTATAAAGTATTTTTTCTGGCATCCTGTTTGCTTTCATCTACTTTATCAGATGATGAGTGTTGTGTGATGACGGTGAACTGTCACTTGTTTTATAGGTAGTACTTGATACTGGTGCACACAGTACATACATATCAGCTATGCTGGTAGAGTGTTTGCTTTACAGGTATCTGTGTTCTGTTTTCCCTATCTCTTCTCACTACTCCACGTGGCCCGATTACCAATACGTGACCTATTTGCTGACAAGATAGTGATTTTTCCAGGCACCATTTCACCCAAACCTTTTTCATTTTATCACAAAGAAAATTTTAATTAACAAATAACAAGATATTTCAACTTTCATTAAATAATCAAAATTTGAGCAATTTTTTTCTGGATGTTTTGTATCAAAGAAAAGTTTTTTTAAAAAGACGGACTATATACACTAATATCAGGTGGCATCTGGTATTAAAGAAATGTCTCTTTAAGTGATCCAATTTTTCTGGTTAACTTGTTCAAGGAATTCTGACCAGTTCGTCATCTTGGGATTAACTGTGATTTCTATACTGGTCTCACCACACTGCAACATCCCTATTGCTTGAGTTAAAAAGACTTTCTTGCATAAGCCATCGGCCAATCTCTCCAGGCTTCACATAATCACAATCTCCCCAGGCCTCTGTCTAACACAAAGCCTTCTGGTGGACCATATTTTGAGCACAGGTCAATGGTAATTTGACACCTCGTTCAAGCAAGTTTATCAGTTCGTCCAGCGCATTGCAGCAGGCTGAGAAGGGACTGAGAAGAAGGTACCAGCCGGCACAGAAAGCTCCTATGGGCCAGCCGATGATGAACAGGATCAGAAGCCATAATATACTCCACAACCAGGAACAATTGGCCATTGTGATGCTGATGATGTGAATTCCCTGTTAACAGAAAAGCAAATATACAGTGTCAATTTTCTTAAGAATCTGAAATAAGAGCACATAACACTGATTATGTAAGTTATTGCAGACATGTTTCTACTTTAATTCAAAATTTATATAAAGCTTCATTGATTGTCCTCATGCCTTTCTCTGGAAACATTACAATTATCATTCTTTCTTGACAAAGAACTTCCCTAAAAATGTTTCCTGTGGAGTCACTATACAAAAACATAAAATAAGTCAGTCTTTGTGCCAAACATACTGTTAAACACTAACATACATTTGAATCATATTAAATATAAGAATTCTGCTTCACCTTCCTTAACTATAGTATTTTCATACTTATGTTTATATTTATTTTTATATGCCACAGTGATAAGAAATGGCACCTGTCATTGTTAAGTAATAATTAAGGTTAATATACCCAGGAGTGTGACAAGGGGTATGTTTCACAATAAGACTTAGACCCCATTCCCATAACTAGATTGATATAGCAGGAGCGCCCCTTCTCCGTGGGTATTCTTGCTAAATTGCATTCAGATTAAGCAGCTTTGATGTCTGGCATGCCTTATGAAGCTGCTACTAGTAAACAATAGTTGATTACCCCATAACAGCTTCAGTAGGCATGGTGACATCTAAGTCACTTTAGTTGATTGCAATTTAGTGAGAATCCCCTCGGGGAAAAGATCGATCCACAGTTAATACAATAGGGTCTGGAAATGGTCCTTTAAGTTGGGCCTAGCTTTGCAAGTTACTGCAATATTATACAAACATCATTCATCACTGAACCAGTCACACTGTAATAGCATGACATTAGGGATTCCCTGACGAGTTAGTCCTTCACCTTTTTCTGTCGTCAACAAGTTAATCAGTCACGTCCTTGATGTTCCTAACACAGTGATTTCTGGTGCACCATATTCTGTGCACAAGTTAATGGCAGTTTGAGGCCTTTCTCTAGAAGGTTTATTAAACCATCCAATGCACTGCAGCAGGCGGAGAAAGGACTGAACAGAAGATACCAGCCAGCACAAAATGCTCCGATCGGCCAACCGATGATGATAAGGATAAAAAACCATAATATGCTCCATAAACACCCACAGTTAGCCATTTTAGTTGTATAGCTCTTTTCTCTCTCAAACTAGAACAAAAAGTCAAAAATCCATTTTTTTTACGTGAAATGTTGACAAAATATTATACTGGTTCTTTTTAGATATGCAGATAAATTTGCTACTGGTATCTGGATATAATACCAAAAACCACCCAAATGGAAAAGCTAATGTCAATTTTGATATTATTAGAAATGAGAAGGAGATGCACAACACTTTCATGCATCATATAATTATCTAAGGGGCCAAGAGAATTTTGCAACAATTTCATAAATTTTCATATAAAAATCAAAATTCAATTTTTGTGAAATTAATACTAGTAAATTCTTAAATCAAAATGGTGCTAGTACTTACTGAAAAGTGCAATTACCACAATACTGTTATGGAGGGTGGAAACTCAATGTGAGGAGAGACATGTGGTTGCATTGTGAATAATATGATGATCACGAGATGTGTGAATCATGATAAAATGGTTTGACAGGAAGAGTTCTAAAAATAACACACGAGGACAGCACCAGCTATCAGAGCTAATGCTGGGTAAGGGGAGAGGGCACTTAGAAACAAGAAATAAACTGACATGTTATCTCAACCACTTCTATTCAACAGAAGTCCTTGGTTAGCTAAGGACATAAGGGAAAGATAAATATATGACCTGGATGTACAACTTGACTGACACTCAGAAGCTGATAAGTTTAGCTGTCCATTTTTAAGAATATTCAGGGACTTGTGCACTGAGTTTATGATTACTACAGATAGCGTGACACTGTTTGAGGTCAATTAATAAGTAATAATGAATAATTAACTTATGCATACACTGACAGGCTAGGACTAGAGAGTGAACAAGACAATATGAAGGAATTCATGCACTGACATATGCAATAACAGTTCTGGAAAAGACCTCAGATATGCCAGAAATCTGTCAACCACTCATACATATTCTCAGTATATGACAGCTATTATAATATCATTTAAGTACATGTACATGGTATATAAGTATATGGTTTCTACCACAAAATTCTACTATCTTAACATCTGCACATGACTCATTTTAGTGTGACTTGACAGCACAGTTTTGGACAATACTTTTACATAAAATATTCTGTTATTGCACATATGGATGTGATTTATTTATATAAAATACAAAGGTACTGATTAGATGCAGTGGTTGACAATGAGTGTTCAGTGATTGACAATATATGATTAATGCTATTTTGATAACAAAATACTCTGATACTGCATATTACTCTTCAATCACAATTACAATTACAAATGGTCACAAATCAATACAAATGATAAGAGTATTAACACCATGCCTAATAGAGATAAAATATAATTCCCTAGTTGACTGTGATGAAATGGTATAAACTACTTTTATAATATCACATGTTGGAATTAGATTAATGTATTACATTTGACGATTACAGAATTACATACTAGTATATGGAGTAAACCACAATTGTGCTATTCTAGCTAGAGGTCTTAATAATGTGAAAAACAACAGCAATGAAGGTAGGGCAAATAATATATACCTATAATACGCACAGTACCTAGTTAGCAAGACATTACCCGTGCTGAACCTTTTTATTCATTAAAAGTTTTAAGTTGTTTACAAAAAAAAAAAAAAAAA